ACTCAGACTTAACCAGGCAAGCTGTCAAAAGAGAGACGCATTGTAGTAATCATTTTCTCCTTGTGAGAACCCACAATTATCTTCGTACCACAATTCTGTCAGAACCAAGTTTAGATTGCCTAGAGCCAGAACAGTAATAAGAACATTTCCTTCTTTTGAGGGGATTTCTAAAATTATACTTTCTTACTATAATTCGTTGAAAGTCAAATGCCATTTATGGACGGCACCTCCTAAACGTAAACACGTGGGGAGCAGAAACCCGGGGGGGACAGCATGGAAGGTCACTACTGTCGATTCGTCCAAGGCATAAATCCTCACTTTAGGCCAGGGTGTCGAACCGGAACCGAACCGAACCGAAAACCGGAACAGAACCGTTATTTTTAGCCGAACCGGAACTGAACCGAACCGAAATCTTCGCCGCCATCTTGGAACTGAACCGGAACGGAACCGGAAAAAAATATAACGGTAACCGGTTCAAAACGGTTCACGGTAATTTTTTTTGTTAGTATTACAAATTTAATATTTGGGAATAAAATATTGGCACGTGAATTCCTCTAAGTATTGATCAAATCGTCATATACAGAATTCCAATGTATAATAAATCCTGTTTTTTTGCGGCGCTTTCTTATTGGCACTATGAATAGCCATGTGTCACATCGTCACGTGACGTCATAATGTCAAGACATGCTGTCAAGTAATGTCATATCACGTGACCCCGTGACGTCACGTGACTCACCGCGTAAAGTCGATTCAAATTGAGGACGTCGCTAGATCTATTAACGTTGTTGATACCGTGACGTCACATGACATCACAACTTCGCACTGAGAGTCCCGTGACACCATGATGTACCCGATTGCCATGATCCCGAGTCAAATGCTCTGGTTCATGACACCCAGTATCGCCAAACATTCGGGTAACGGCTCGTGTTCAACTCAAAGATTATGATGGGCCCGAGTCCCACTAGAGCTAGAAGCAGAAGCAAACGAAAGCGACAAGCCTCAGACACATGCAGCATGTTCGCGATGGTACCTTTATACGGCTTTGAGTTGTTCGGTGCTCGCGAAGTTAGCAGGAGTGTTTACAAGCCTGCAAATGGTACCATCGTGTGCATGATACTCGTGTTTGAGCATAGCCTTCTTTATTCTACAAAGCCTGTCAAATCGCGAAATACTCTGGTTTAAGGCTAGCCGCTGTCGTTTGTTTCTGTTTGTCGCTTTAGTGGGGCTCGGGCCCCATTATAGCCCAACTAAAACTATATCTGAAGATTAGCCCATGCTTCGCCTTGCCACCCCTGCTTATGACTATGATAAACACTGACGCTGCATATATTAGGATCAGATCACGTGGCTGATAGTTCTAATTGCGAGTTGAGGAGGGGAAAGCTGTTTCATTTCTTCCTTTCGACTGTCTCTCATTTCTCGGAGGAACAAACTAATGGATGCTTTTGCAAGTTATCAACGTCAGGGATTACAGCTTGGCGGTATTTATTGAACTGAAGGTAAAAAAAATGCTGCACGGCCCATTTTACATGTATGCACACCATTGAGGCTCCCAAACATGTTTTCGTTATTGCTGAACTGCCTCAGAAAGTTGTACCGAGAATAGAAGTGTTAAAGGGTCTAAATGTGACGTATTAGTCCGACGTTACATGAAACTATTAGTGTGTACGTGAGGGATAGCTGAAAAGAAAGATCCTAGTGGTCTCATGGGGATAGCCAAACGTTGGCAGCCGCTCTAAGTCTCACAGGAGTGTCGTTCTCAAGTTCTCCAAGTTTCGACCGCCCTGTATTTTGTTTAACCTTCACAGTTTGGTGCAAAGTAAAAGCAAGGAAGAATTACTGTTAACGAGTGACACAAATATAATTGTCGAGTGAACACCATTCAATACGGAGCAGGCAATCCCTGAGGAATAAAAAGTATCTTGAGGAGCAACTAAAAAAAAGGGAGTGGGGAGGGGGGTAGTTTTAAAGCATACTGTGTCGTAAAGATTCCTCTACCGCGCACTTTCGGCGCAGACTAGAAAGCGTGGCCTGGAAACGATAGTGACAGATGGGTAGTTGGTACAACTTTTATTTGTAAAAACACTCTTGCCAGAAAGAACGTTTTCGCCGCGCCAGATACTCGCGCCGTGTCTAACGACGATGCACCAACAAGAAAAATGTGTGCCTCTCAAATACATAGCTTGCACTGAGCGCGAAAATTTTGCAGCGTGCATTTTGCCCCATCAGATTTGATATTCTCAGCAAGAACAACTCGCAATGACAACCAGTATCTAGCGCGATTACGTCACATCAGCTTTCTGGTGAAGTGCGACGTTCGCAACACTAGCAGTAGACGTCCAAGGTGTAAAGTTGTGTAGTATTTATAGCAGTCTCGCGATGATATACGGCAGCCTAATGAAATGTTGCAGCACATGACTGATAAAGAACAGAGTCGTGAAGTAAGGTCCCAAAACAAGTGCACGTAAAACCTAAGATAACATTAGTAGTATCTCGCGACGTTTCGAGCTGAGGCAAGCTGATGCCCAAAAGTGAGTTATATTAGGATTCTAAAAATCTTCATTTGCCCTGCGAGGAATCTATGTTTAATTAGGAATATCATTTTATGCATTTCTATGCATCTCTTTTTGCAGTAAAGCGTTGTGTAAGGGATTATTTAGAAAAAATTGCGTGTCATCTCCTTATTTCTGCACATTTCGTGTATTTGCCTTGCGATATATCATGTGACCACATTGTTTTTTGGCATACCCTGCAACCCAGTATTTTACACTGCAAAACAGCTAACAAAAGCACGTTGCCGAAGACTCAACAGCTGGCGTATTTTCGAGTATCGTCCTTCCGTGTCGGTCTCAGGCGGTTATGTGAACTTCATAAAGTCAAATTTATCGATGATAATAAAAATATACTTAATTCCTGTCTGAAGATTTGGCAGCATAAATAGAAGATCCTCACCTCAAAGATATATAAGTAAACACACTTTTAAATTATCTGAAAGTTGTTCTGCAAATCTTTTTCGGCGCTTTTATCCTCTATAGACACGTTATAGGTGATTTGGAAAAGCTTTAATAATGTTGTTTTTTATTTTATTTTGAAGCTAATTTAAATAACTACATGTGTTCCTCACGCATATATAACTTCTCAAATATATAGAAGTTTATTATTGCGTTTTTTATGTGTTTTTATTATCGCCTTTTTTTACTGGAACAAATGATGGAACTATGACGATTGCACACTTAAACTCTCAGAAAGTGTCCAATTAAGTAGCTTCCGAATTGAGTAGAGCATGAAATCCCCCTTTGTTCTATTTGATAAAAATCATCAATTAGAGAGGGTGATGCTTATTTGCAAATTAAATTGACCGGCATTTTGTCAAGAGCAAACCTCAGGACCAGGCTATGCCAGTTTATCCAATATAGAAAATGTTCGCATGGGTAAGCACTGTTTTAGGTCAGATTCGATCTCAGTACGAAGGTGCTCATAGGTTAGAGTGAACAATTTCAGCCACTCCTTTTCGCATGATTCGTCGCCCGCATCATGGTGCTGAGAGCAAACAATGCTAGTTAGAAAAAACGCATTGCGATTGTCGCTTAGTGTTTTTATAAAATATAGAGTGGAAGGACTTGTCCTGTGACTTCCGTGACATTTTTAAAATTATATTGCCTTAAGATCAGTCGTCTCGTCGTCATATATATATTGTGAAACGTATTCCGTAAAACACATTTTATGGTATATATGGCGACGAGGTGCCCATTTCATGATTTTATTCACTGTAATTAATTTCTTAGTTCAAGGGCAAAACCACGATTCAACATCTAATACTGCAATACAAAGTTGTACCTGCCACGGGTATTTTAGGCAACCTACTTCACTTCGCGAAAACATTTCGATTCAGGTACAATGTATGTGACTCTGGTAAACGAAGGGAGGTTGAGTCGTATAAACACGACGTCAGGCATGTTAATGGAGATTTTCCTTTCTTGTTGTGTAGGTATAATTAACCGAATTTTATAATTTTTGTACCTGAAAATAAAACTGGATTGAACAAACGATAAAAAAAAAGAAAACTATATACTGTAAACGACTTATTTTTCGTGGGCTCAATATTTCGCGATTTAGGTCAAAGCTGACGTTTTGGAATAATTCGTGGGTTGTAATTTTCTCGACGCGGTGGAATCTCACTATAAATTTCAATCTGTTTACATTTTACCGAAATTGTTCGCGGGACCCATTTTTCGCGAATTGTAGGCGACTCGCGAAATTCTCAAAAATAGGTCCTCGCAAAAATCAGATTGTTAACAGCAGTTAGTTTCATGGCCTAAATAGTGCCTATTGACAGAACAACGCAGAAAATATATTCTCAATTTAGCGGTTCAAACCGGTTCGAACCGTTATTTTTGCGCCCCGGAACTGAACCGAAAGCCGTGAACCCGAACCCGAACCGAACCGATAAAAATATCGGTTCGACACTCTGCTTTAGGCAGTGACAGGCTCGCCTGGCTCGGTTCATTGTTCGCCCACCTAACCTGTTTCTGCTCTTCTAACTTCAGTGATTCGAAACTTCCCTTCACAAATTCATTGTTGTCGGGCTCTGAAGCCTTGTCTCTTTAGTTTTGAGGATAAAAGTGTTAACAATTTCGACCCTCGGAATTGCGAGGTTGCAAATTTGGATTCCGAAGCAATCAGTGGCCTACCAACTTGCTTTTGAGTGGGGGGATGACCCCGCCTTCCATAAACCATGTAATGGCCACGTAGATGGGGTCTTTAATGTGCATCATACAGTAGTTATATGCGATTTTATGCCAGTTTGATGCTAACTCAATCTAAAATGGGCAGAGGTGGGGATTAAACTTGGGGGTCTCTTGGTTCTGCAGTGCAAATGCTTCGAACTGCGGTGGGTTCACATGCTTGGCCACTGAACCCCCCACCCCCTCTCCTCCTCCTCCCCCCCCCCCCCAAAAAAAAAAAAAAAAAAAGACAGAATCCACATATGAGAGCCGTTCTAAAATGTACAAGAGAGTTTTATTTACATGCATCACACCTCATGGCACTTTCAGTGTGACCAAGACCAAAGCCGGTCGTTGGAACTTGGCTCAGTCCCAGAACTTGATGGTGCCGTCCCAGCCGGCGGTGGCCACCTTGGATGTTTCATGGGGGTGCCAGAGGGCACCGATGCACACGGCGTCATGGGCCTTGAACTTGTTGTACAGCTTCGTGGTCTTCCAGTCCCAGATGTACAGCTTGCCGTCTGCATCTCCCGAGATCAGGTAGCTGCGACAAGTGTACCATAGCCACCTCAGTTTCTGCTTATGACGGAGCCGGCATGAAGAACGATTCCAGGTTGCCAACGCATCTGTTGGTCTTTTGAACTTAACTCCAGAAAGAATGAGCTAGCGGGAGTACAAACAGAGGAATGGAAAGCGGGACCATCGTTGTGCTATCGGAAATCAATAAAACACAAATGGCAAAGCATGCGGCTTTCGATACATGTTGCGCTTCTTAGACCCCGATAGAACCGCAGAATGGAGAATACTTTACGAAGGGGAATACATTCTACTTCCCTCATCTGCATTAGACAGTGCACCTAGAGAGCGCCAGATCCTCCCCCGATGGTTTGAAAACACCAGGCCCGAGAATGCATGCACATTGTGCTACTATAGACCAACACGCTGTTTTCAAACAAGTCTCCATTTACCCACACTAGGGGCCCTAATCTGGACACTTGGTGAAAAAGTCGACGAGAAATCCGGCGCTAAGGTCAAGTGCGGCGTTGGCCAATCACGGCCGCCAGATTTTTTTCGCCGATTTTTTTGCCAAATGTCCAGATTAGAGCCCCAGGTGTGGGCACTGCGCATGTGCAGAAACCAGATTCACGTGAAGTGAAACGTCTGCACCATGCCCACGTCGGCACCACAGCACCGGTGTGACGTCAGAGTTGCGTGTTTGTGTATAGTCGGACACAACAAGGCACATAGTTTGGGGCTAGTTGGTGGTGCATACTTGTTTGGTGGGAACAGCGCTAAAAGACGTAGGACCAGAACGGGAATACACAGACAGGGTGCTGACTTACAACTAAAGGTTGATTCCTGCACAAAAACAGAAGTAAACACAAAAAGGGGGAAAGGAAGAGAACACAATGAAGCAAACCGATAACATCCGGCATCAGCCACACTACATAGCCACACAAACCTGCCACACTTTTTAGTGAAATCTACTTCGTCACCTACAAGAAGCACAGAAGGAGTGCTCGTACACGAGTCCGCTCCATGAGTCACCATGAAATATGCTTCGTCTATCACTCTAACACAGTCTTGTTTTTGTGTCGAGACAAAATTTTAATGTCGTGAAATGACGGCGAGCAGCCACACCTACTACAATGAACAGCTAGGTTCCCCAAAGGCAAAGAACGCCTTTGGGGAACCTAGCACCAATTCAGTATCCCCACTAAATTTACCGGAAATTTGATGTCACGTGACCTCTGCAGTAATTCAGTTACCCCGCTAAATTTGGCGCGAAAATTGATGTCACGTGATCTGATGCTACGGCACCTAGACGAATTCAGGTCCCCCGCAAAACTTAGCGAAAATTGACGTCACGGGACTTAGTATGCACCAATTCCGTTTCCCTGCTAAGTTTGGTGGGAAAACACATCATGACCTTAAAATCAATTATTCATCAAAAACATATCAACGCTAAATCAATGCAACATCATTCCAATATCAGGTCACTGTATGACACATGATCGGCACAAAGCTAATCGATCGTCATCGTCGAATAAGAGGCACAGCTGCTGCTGTCTAAATGCATCAGGTCGTGTGATCGTCTAGCAATTTTTTTCGCTCTCTTTCCTTCCCCGTTTTTCTGTTTATTTCTGTTTTTCCACAGCAATAAACTTTCAGTTGTAAGTCAGCATTCTGCCTGTGTGTTTCCTGGTCCTTAGTCTTTTAGCGCCGTTCCCACCAAACTGGTTGGACACAAGTTTTGAATCCACAAGAAGCTCCTCCGGCACGATCACCATCACCAGCCAGTGTTCCTCCGAAATGCACAAAAAGTCCACTACCGTGGGAATCAGTGCATACTGCTCACCTGAAAAAGGACAAGACAGGCTGGACACAGAAAAAACACACCTTTATCCGAGCAGGCCCAGCAATCGAGTGCTACCCCCTACGCGCCCTGGGTCGTGCTAACGTCTCTCCCTTTCACGGGCCCACACAACACACAAATCACTTTGATGAGATAAAATCACTTCTAACCACTCTGGTTATACAGAATGTGTATGAAGGCACACTTCTAACAATCTATTAGCCAAATAAAACATTTTGTGCTGTTTTACGTTTCAGAAGCAGGAATACTCATTGGACAACACAAAACACCCAACTGCCGGGTTTTCCTTGATGGTGATAGACACCACTCCCAAATCAAAGCCGAAAACCCCGTGGGCTTTGGCGCATCCAACTGCATGAACTATGCCAAATCTGTCAGCGCCAAGGCCATTGCATTATTGCGAAGCGAGATGTATTTTCTCTAGTAAAGTATCATATTTATGCAGTTCTCAGCAGCACCCCCCCCTCCCCCCGTTATCCAGTTAGAACGGTAAAAAAAAAAAAAGAAAGACGTTTACAACACCCAGCAGCGCCGAATTAGAGCGCAGCTCTTGAACAGGGGGGAGGACGGGGACCAAGGGGAGGGTATACCCCTCCTCCCTTCTCCTCACCTTTTCATCCTCCCTACTCCTCCTCCTCCCCTCTTCCACCTCCTCCTCCCCTCCCCCTCATCCTCCTCCTTCCCTCCTCTTCCCCACGTGTTGCATCATGGGAAATAATGTCCCATAATGCACTGTGCAATTACGGCGACGGCGACGCCGCTCAAGCCAGAAACGGGCGCCTAAGAGCTGTGCTCTAAAAGAAGCTTGTATGCGAACGTAAGCACCCCTTTTCTGAGCACGATTAAAAATCCGAGCGCGGTGCGCCACCGTTCTTCAGCGGAAGAAAAGACAGTGATCGCCGAGCTGTTGGTAACATTGATAGCTGCAAATCAGTTTAAGTATCACTTGATTGATGGTGACACATGAATCGCGCGGACGCGAGCCCGTGAGCCGCACCGCTGCGCGAGCAGGCGAGTTTGCTTGTTCTTTTCTTCTCTAGGAGCGTCGGCGTCGGGGAGGCAGTTTTGTTTCGGCGGCTTTTAGTCAATCTTTCATCAGTCTTGCGTCAGCAGGAGTGCGAAGAGAACATCCTATATGTACAAGTTCAAGAGAACAGTGATCTCCTTTGCGGAGGGGAATGGAAATCACAGCGCTGCTAAGAATTTCGGCGTGGACAGGTCCAGTGTGATTCGATGGAGAAAGCAGCGGGAGCTGATTTTCAAGAACGCATTGTCATCAAGTTCTTCAAGAAGTGTTGTATAACTAACAGTCTTGACGGATCTGAGGACGACCTTTTGTGGGACACAAAGAGCAGCTGGAGCAGCAGCAGCTTGGACGGATGCCCTGAGGACTTGTCGTCGAGTGAAAGTGATCGAGTGAAGCATGCTGCATGGTGTGCTGTAAGATGTGCCAGCAAGTAGAGCGACAATCTCCCGTATTTGTTGTATCTTCCGTGCTCTATTTTACCTTTTATTTTACTTAAAAGAGAGTAATATTTCTTGCCGAAATTTCGTAACATTTAGTGCCCTTTGAATCTAAGCACCCCCCACTCTCGTGAAGCATCGCGAATAGGAAAAAAAAAAGGGGTGCTTAGAATTGAATAAATACGGTACTTCTGCTCACCCTCACAGCCCCCCTCTCCGCTTCACATTTTCTTTCAGTTGCTACAACCCTCTAGGTAGTGTAGCATGTATCGAAGGTCACATGCTCTTCTTATTCGTGTTTCATTCGTTCCCGACAGCAGATTGTTTATAAGATTTCTCAGTAAGCACGACCCTGAAAAATGATTGTTGGCAACATTGTCATGTTTTACATAACAGGGGAGAGTACATGTAGTTAGCTGTTAGAATATAGAAGCAGAATAGTACATTTTTGGAAGGAATACAACAAAACATGTTACAAAACTGTGAGAATGCAATAGTATCCACATTATTGACGTTTCCAGCAAAACATTTCGTGACTTCCTTTCACTGCTCCATGCAGATAAGTTTTCCATTAAATTCTTCATACAGTCATCAATAAACAACTGTATCTACTTTTGCAACTTCATGTTTCATCACAAAGCTGTACATCAAGTGGCCGAAGCATCAAGCTGTAAAGGTATATTTAAAAAATATCGCAACTGAAACATAAAGTTGTGGAAAGAGGTTGGAAAAAATTTGAGTTGGAGTCACCAAGAGTCTTTCACAATCAGTATTCGAATATATTATTTGATTGAAATAAATTTTTATTCGTATTATTATATAAAATATTATGGACAGCCTGACATAAAAGGCATGCGATCAGAAGTACAGTGAAACCCGTTTAAAACGAACACACATACGGCGAATTATTGTCAATATCAAACTCACGGAAAATTCAAATAAAAATGCAAGTAACAAGTATACTTTTTATAACGAACAACATATCGGCTATATCAAACTTTTCCCCCGCAAGAAGGCTTCCAAAAACACACAATCATCTTCTAGCCTGTCCCTACCCCAAAAAAAAAAAGTGGGAAAGAAAGAAAATTTTAAAAGCTTAAGTCGTGGACAAAATTGAGTGAAGAGAAGCGATTCAGAAGGGGACAATGCTAAAAAATATAAAAAAAACAAAAACATTTTTATCTCAAAACGGTTGCGAACGAAGAGAGCAACTCAAAAGGGGAGATAAACTAAAAAAACAAAAAACACATGCAAAAAAAAAAAGAAAAAAAAAAGAAAAAAAAAACCTTTTTAGCACGTTGTTACAAAGCAGAAGCAGAGATGAGAGAGAAAGAGAAGCTCTCACCTTACAAGGAACGCATCGTGGAAGTTCGTTGTAAATGGTTTTTGTTTAATCGAATTAGGTGCTTGCTATATCAAAGAGATCGTAGCGTTTCCTGCTGTTCATTATAAACGGGTTTGACTGTATGAGGGAAGTTGAGACCCTAGCATACTGGATTCCTCACACAAAGTGTGGGACCAAGTAAACTCTAATAAATGCATCGGCAGACAGTTGAATGTGAAAGCACAAAACACAAACAAACAAGAATAGACATATGGATACTTTGTAGGTGTGCATCTGTCTGTCTTATTCTTTTCATACTCACAACTGCTTTGGAGAACTGTGACTAGGTAGTGCTGTGACGAAGGTTTTGGTAACTACTTTCAACGTGTAGTTTTACCACCTTACATCTCTACTTTGGCCTCACAGACAGTGCATAATTACTTGTTGCACACAGAAACTGTTCCTTCTATTCAATTTCCTGAACCTTGTGTGACCAACTCACCTCATGTCTGGAGAGAAGTCCAGGCCACAGGCATAACCAGCCACCTAAAATGCACAAGATTATAAATAAACATCCTGCACCAGAAATACACTTTCCATAAATCAATTTCCCCCTTTGCCCACATGGTATATCGACGACGAGCAAAAACAAAAGGAAAGTCTAGCGCACAACAGAAGAGAAAGCCAACGGCAAGATAACCTTAAAATAAATGCTGCTTCACATATGGAACTATATTTGGCAAGCTCCTAGGTACTGTTGAGACCGGTTATAACGAAGTTAACGGGAATCAGAAATCACTTCGCTATGTCCACTATTTCGTTATGACCGATTTCGGTTATAACGAAGTGCGAAAGGGAATGGGTAATCGTGATCGCATCGCTGTAGCTGCTATTTCGTTATAACCGACATCGATATAACCGGTCTCATCAGTAAAAAACTGCAAGCCTTGTATAACTAGTGGTTTTTGGTATTTAATATAACAAGAAACCCAATAAAGATACAAAATATTACCTCGGTGAAATAGAACTGGCACTGGCGTCATCCACTAGTTGTGGCATTCCCTAAATTACTTTTTTAAGTAATTTGCTTTATATATGCAGGGATTTTCAGCGTGCTCCAAATAGCCAATTCACACGATGGACCGAATTGCGATTTTCGTCTGTGGACCATGTACAATGTGATCGTCACGTCACCGGTTCCTGCGATCCGTGCCTTGTCCGTGGACTGAAAAGGTTGAGTGTCTTTTTAATTGCGGACTTTTGGCGCAAGATTGACTTGAAAAGCATTTAGTCTGGCAAAGGTAGAAGGCTTTTTTTGTTTTCGGACGCTGAAAACAAAAGTAGTGCATTGTCTTTTGCGCGTTTGCTGGTTCATTTTGTCGCGCGATTCTTGGTTTCACGCGTTAGAGAAACGGCAGAAACTTTGCCTGGCTGACGCGACAGAGGTCCGGTACTCCTCCAGGACCGTCTCAAGAAGCTTCCGTCAAAACTCGTTTAGCACGCCGTAATAAGTCTTGCACGTCCAATCAGCTTCTCACCGAGAACTAAGACCCTTCTTGTGGCTGTGGAGTACTTAAGCACGAGCGTGGAGTGCGTGAAGGCATCTCAAAACGCTCCTCCGTGAGCCCAGAACTTTGTCGCTTCTACGCCAAAGCCACTGTCTTGCCTTGGGTTACTAAAGGTAATGGCACGAAGCTTATCACGGTGTTCTGTCTTGCCCTGTACGTAACAGCACCATACGATTCTTTATCGCGGTAGCAAACATAGATTGCTCTCTCGAACAATGGTGACACAGTGCAGTGTTGTAGTATGGCAAGACTGTGGCATGGCGAACAGGTTCGGTCCACCTTCGCTGGCGTCTGCTCGTCATCTCCCGTGTGTGGATGTGCTTGGGAGACTGACGAACCACGGACGTGTTGTCACATGATCAATCTGTCCGCAGATCAGTCTGTCGTGTGAATCGGCATTAAGATTCCAAGATTAAGGGACTCCCTAGGATTCAAGCACTGTACTTTTCTATTAGGCTCAGACAGAAGCTTGATGCGGCTAAGTGGTCAATATCTTAGTGAAATAAATGTCACATGCAAAGCAAAAAAAAAAAAAAAAAAAAAAAAAAAAAAAACAGTCATAATTAAAGAAAACAACAGATGCATCGATTCAAATTAGATTTATTTCATTTACATCAGACAAATTTGATTTAAAGGGCAACTCCGCTTCATTTTTGATATTTAGAAAACTATGTAGCCCTCTTCAGTATCATATAGGAAGACCCCGTGTCAAATATTACGATCTAATTCCGTCTATATATTTAATAAACTGGCCAGCAAACCATCAAGTGAGCGAAGTTGCCGAAATCTGCCAACTCTAGCGTGCGGCGTGAGGCGCAATCATCAGCGCAGTCAATGCCACGGAGTTGGAGCGGCCAACGTTGAGCCACTACAACAGAGGCGTGACTATGTCATTCTCATGTTTTGTTTGTTTTTACTTCTCAGAGCGAAATTGAACGATGACGTCATGAGTTTCTCCTCCCGGTGTTGGCTGAACGGCGTCCACGTGATCACCGTAACACTGATGCGCTATTGCGCTGCCCTGCGCGCTTATCGGTCTGTTTCTCCGCTCTCCTTCTCCTCTTTCGTCTTCTCCCCTTCCCCCTCTCCCCCGGGCCATCACCGTCCACGCCATGCAAAGCAACCTGCCCGCGTCAAAAAAAAAAAAAAAAAGACGTGTTTGCGTCGCGTGTTCTGTTTCTCGCTTCCTCCCGAACGTCACAAGACCACGTGGTTCGACGAGACGTGGCCATGACTCTGACGACCTGAGACCAATGTTGCCTGACGCAACCGAAGTTTCGGTTTCAGTATCTGCTGATGTTTAAATTAGGATTACACAAATAATATTCCACATTTCGCGAACCCAAAGACGTAGAGTTGTTTAGTAGTGCTTTGTGAATTTGAATCACATGGAAGCCTAAATTTTTCGGAATTGAGCGGAGTTGCCCTTTAAATCACTGTAGCTAGAAAAAAGTGATTCCTTATCACCAGATGAATTTTGAGCATGGCAGATTAATTTATCAATCTATCCGATCACTAAAATGAATGCAAAGGAAAGAATTACCACAAATTTGAACTCCAGCCCCATTAAACATTTTTATGGATGTAATCTGGTCTAATTTCCTTGCAATGCGACATTATTTTTCTTGCATTTGTTTCTTCCTTTTGCTGTCTGATCTTGCAATAGGACATTACGCAACCGACGGATGAAGTGGAAGGTGGAACGAAAGCTCGATCAACACATTCACTTGCCTAGAAGAGCACCGCTTTTTATTCACTTTCAACCTGCTATAACTATTTCATCAAATAGGATAGACAAATAGTGAAATATTTTGAAGATTATTTGTGTGGAAAAGGTTTGAGTTAAATTATCATTAGAAAACCGGGAAGGGTTTGATTTAAAGGGGTACTCCACCGATTTTTTGAGCTACCTCAACTAACTATATTTTCTGACTCCCCAGCCTTTAGCCTTTCCGGTATGCTATTCAGCATCGCAAAATTCATAATAGGTATTGTGAAATCGGCAAATGAAAATGGTGCAAAAACCAATATTCAAATATTCGCGCACTTTTCAGTGCCGTGACGTCAGTGGCAGGCAGGCTTGCCAGTCGAGCAAGTAGTCTAAAAGTAGAATATGCCAATCATTTGTTCCGTGCTGGAGCGCGGATATGGGAGCGAGCTTCCAAAGCACTCATTTGACACCAAGAAACTGCGTCAAATCCGTTGGGAACAACTTCTGTAGTCCAAAAAGTTAACCCCTGCCTTCCACTGACGTCACTTTGTTGTTGTTGCCAGTAGGGACTTTCAGCTTGAAAAACATAGTGAAGACCAAAACTGTAAATTCAATAACTTCGCGAAAAAACAATATTTTGACCTAATATTTGGGATACTACTTTAGCAATGTTTGTTGGTTAGTTTAGCAAAATTTCAAGCAAATCGGAGACAATGAAAAAACCGGTGGAGTACCCCTTTAAGTCACGACTTAACTCATATAGATTTTTATTCTCCCCCCTGGTCACATGTCATCGAGAGCAAACAGAAAACTTTCAGCCTTTCAACTCTGGTGATGAAAGGAACGCCAGCAAAGCGAAACTATGGTGGGACTACTTGTTGGACAATCTCAAGGACGACGCCTAGAGGACGACATCTAGGACTACCGAGGACGATGCCTAGGACGAACTCAGGGACGTCGTCTAGGACGGCCTCAAGGACGACATCTAGGACCTCAAGACGACTTCAAGGACGACCTGGAGGACAACCTCTCAGACGACCTCAAGGACTTCTGGGACGACCTCAAGGACGACTTCTAGGATGACCTCGAGGACGACTTCTAGGACGACGCCTAGAGAAATTCAGCCTTTCTACTCTGGTGAAAAACAGAGTGGAAAGGCTGGAAAGGTTGCTGACATCTATGAGCGACAGCAACAACCAGACAACCGGCAAGCCGGTTGTCTAGTTGCCGTTGTCGCTCATGAATGGCGGTAGCTGACCAGAGTTTTGTGTCTACATTTATTTGGTGACGGACACGAAACTGGGGAAACCAGTCCTTAACAGCTCTGCTGTGTAAAAAAAAAAGTGTTAACTCACCATGTGTCCTTCGAAGGTCTTTTTCCTGTTCAGCTTGAAGCGGTTCAGTGCCGAGAAGATCATGATCTTGTTGTCCATGGACTGGCATGCAAGCCACTTGCCTGCAGCCGCACAAGATTGTGCAAGGATTGGACAAATGAGATAATGCCTCGCCAAAGGAAACTTAAAATGCGCACACTGCTTGCACACAAAAAAACGTCGCACTCTAAAATTACATGCATCAGACCATGCTAACTTGGCCCTTCATTTGACACGTGGAAAAGGAACTAGTTATACTTGAAAGGGCATCTCATCTCAAAATGGGGGCATCCTCTCGGGAAAAACATTAAAATGCCCGCAGGGCGTGGCCAGTCCAGAGCATCTTATCGTCGCTCCGTAGTAATTAATGAGATTGCAGCGCTGGCCGATAAGAACACCGAGGCACGAATCGCAAAACAAGAAGCAAGAAGAACGTAACAAGCCAGATCCTGCGTTCCTAGGGCCATCGGTGACTAGCTCGTGAAGACACTGCACTTTCGACTTCGCACAAGAACAAAGTCACGAAAACAGGTACTTGCCATTGGGGGCAAGGGTGACGGCAGGCATGGAATGCATGGAGGGGTCGGCGATGTACTTCATGTCCACAGGAATGTCCCACTCCCAGACGCGCATGCTCTTGTCGTCCGAGGTGGAGACGAAGCGACGGTTGTCGTCCACAAAGGTGATAGTGTTCACGGCTCCCAGGTGGCGGTCATACTCTTGCACAATCTCCTTGCTTCTTATGTCCCACTGTGGACAAAGCGTGGATGGGAGTAAGCATCGTGCAAGCATGGCACCGTGAAGGCAGGGGCTGGTAAATTTAGCTGATGTAACATTCAAATGTGAAAAACAAGGAACTGGTCAATTAGGCAATGTGCGACCTCCCTAATCATTCTGCACATACCTTCTGTTAATGGCTAAACCAAGTGGGCAGTTTGTTTGCTGGAGAAGTTTTTTACGACCAGAGCTATGAGGCCTCAGGAGCCAAAAAGTACTAAAAGACTTCATCTTCACAGCTCAATATTTTGCGAACTTTGGGGAGTGTGGGTTTCGTGAACCTTTCGCAGGCATAAAATTTTGTATTTTCGTGTGATGTGCAACGTATCGTTTGCCACAAGTTGATATATTTGCGAGAAAAATTTTTGACAATATTTTTAAAGTCAGAAATTTTGCAAAAATGAAGTCGTGTACTGTTTGAGGTCTTTCAAACTTCGGCAAGCATTCTTACATCAGCTCAAAGAAATCGTGGGCACACTCGATCGTTTCGAATGTTCCGCAGGACTTACGCAGACAATCTTCTTGTCCGAGGTTCCGGCCACAAACAGGTTTTGCTTGTCGTTGTCGGGGTTGAACTTGACGCAGTAGGCCACCTTCCGGTTAGTAAACCTCGATACGCATTCGCCTGTAAGTGCATGAGTTATACGGTGAGCTGAGCACGATGAGTGTGAAAAGTGCCTCCATTAAAAATGAGTGTGACAGCAAACAACCCAAAATCGAAAAAACTAAATGTCAAACTTTGCACGTAGCTGTTAGTCTGCTATTTCACACAGGAAAACGGACAAGAGGAGGCAAAAGGTGACACACATATGCGTACGTGTGGCAAGGAACAAATATAAGTTCTAATACAGTCTAAGCTCATTACAACAGACCTGGTTATTACAGATTTTTGGATATAACATACCGATTTGTGAAGTTTGGTTGATTTTTCTCTACATACCATTGACTCAAGTTTAAATCTGCATACAACATACTCCATTTAAAACAGACCGAAATCTTGGCTAAAATCAAGGTCTGTTATAACGAGCTTAGACTGTAATTTGCAGCAGAGATTGACAACCTTTGGGCCTGGCACACGAGAAGGCGTCACCCAACCTGGCGCAGCTAAACGCCGATACATTACATTGATGGCAATGACCAGTAATTGTTGCTGTCACCACCAGCTTCAACTCAATTGGGTCTGACTTAAAGAGACACTGAACCTAGGAAAACATGTTTGTTTTTGTTTTTTTTTCTACCTGGTTTGGACAGACATGTCTAAAAAGTAATGTTCGTCAAAAAAAAAAAACACTTTTTTTTGCCAAATATTTATGCTACAATATGAATTTTTTGATTTGCAGGAGAAACTGAAGCTCACAATTGAAATTCACATTGTGAAAAGCAAATTTTCTGTGTCAGCAATTGGCAGTATCAGTTCCCATTTCACGTTGGTGGTAGCAGATGCTCCAGTGTTTTATCGCTATTTTTTTTTATCACGTTTTGCTGTCGCATCCTTAAAGGTAGCCCACCCCACGTTTTCCACCATTTATCACTTCATTTTGGGTGGGCGTCCCTAAGGGAAAGGGATTTTATGGTAGAGTACCTGTCTCTGTGTCCCACAGCTTGACGTATCGGTCGTAGCCGGCTGACAGGAACCGCTCGCCCTTGTTGTCGAAGGCAATGTCCCGCACGGCCTGCCGATGGCCGCTGTATGTCCGGATGCATCTCCGCTCGTTGTAGACTTCCCACAACTGCAAGGGATTGCGACAAAATGTTTTGGCGGCAGCCAAAGGCATGAAAGGCTGACGAGAGGCTAAACGGGTAAGAAAACAAAAATGAAGGAAGTTAGATTGTTCTTGGAAATCTTTGTAGGTCCTTAACTTACGTTTCAAGTTTTGCACCGATGTCAGCTCACAAACTAAGAAAATGTTTTCATCACTTTGTAAAACACAAACATTTTACACCATCTCTAACCTGATAACGCTCAGAGTCCTTGACAATACCAGCCTGCACACAGCATCAGCAATGATAAACAACTCTGAGGTGACAGAGGAGGTGGGAGAAGGATAGTAACGGTTACAACTCATTTCATGAGTTCAAAAAATATTAAAATTACTCTTCTGATTACTACCTAATAAACATAATCAAATGATTCACTCAAAAAAGTAAAAGGTTACAAGTCATTTGATTACCATATTTTGTAGGCATCTACTTAGATTACGAACTATACCAATATTTAAAGGGTGACATTTTATGTGGTGCAGATTATCTACAGGTGCGAACTATACAAGTGCAGAAAGTAGTCCGAAAAATACGGCACTTGTAACGAGCACGATGCAAGTCAGTGAAAAAGTATTAATGGGACGGACCTTGACTTTGCAGTCCATGGAGCAAGAGAGGAGCAGGTGGGCGGAGCGGGGGAACCAGCGGATGGCCGAGAGGCCCTTGGAGTGGCCCGACCAGGTGTGGATCAGCTTCTTCGGTAGGAAGCACTTCTCGGGGGGCTCGCTCGACCGCAGGTTCACCCCGACGTCCTGGGGCACGTGCAGGAACGAACGGCCCTGGTAGTCGTACGGGTCCTTGACTGCGACGTGAGAAGACAAAAATACAGGGGCTTTATGTTGTAAAAAAAAGGGAGGCCACGAGCAACGCCCCAAGGACTCAAAGGCGCTATGTAGCTGCCCGCCATGGCAGCAGTGAGAAACGCGGCGCGGCTACCTCCCCCCCTCCCCCCGCTTCTCCCCAATCTTTGGACGTCGCTCGAAAAAAACCACGCAGAGGGAGCTTTTTTTGAAGCCTAAAACAATGTCTCCAGCCACTGTTCTTCTTTACCAGCTAATGGTGTTGACTACTCACAGCAGGTGAGAGCGTCAGCAAAGGAATGCACAGTAAGGAGGTCCCGAAGAGAGAAGACGGGAAAAAGACAGGGAAAATGACGACAAGGAGTCCTTGCCGGCACCTTTATAAAGATCATGCTCCGGCCCTCCTTCCTAACCGATCAATACATTTAATATGCGTTACAACCGAATTCGTCCACCTCCAAAACTGAAGCAGTTGGAGAACACAACAGATTCCTCGGGGGAAAAGACCAACCAGGGTGTGAACGTTACATCTTGCAGGTTAGAGGCTAAAACGGAACCCCTAGATTACCGAGGCAGTCACGATCGATCCAAACAAAGCAGCGTTGCTTGGAGTCAACTTGAGTGGAAGCACAACGCACTTCCGTTGTCCGTATGCCATGGGTTCTCCCATGGCAATCTGGGGAACTCGGTCTCATACCAAGTTCCCCAGATTAGCTGAGCTCCCAAACTTTCTCGGCCGGCGATCTAAAATCAAATTTGGGGGTTTTACGTGCCAAACCAATGACGGGCATCTGGCACGCCCCAGCGGAGGACTGAGGATTAATTTCGACCACCTGGGGATCTTTTGACGTGCAACCGAAAGCTCGGTTACGCGGCGCCTTCTCCGCAATAAGCCTCCGTCAGATTGCGGGCACCTCGGCCACGATTCGAACCCACCACATGGGGATTCGTAGGCCGGCGCTCTCGCCTCGGCCGTCGATCTGAGTCATCAATTGTTGCACTGCTTCACTGGACGAACGCAGACTGAGAGGGGATCCTCGACCAACGATAGAGAGAGAGAGAGGCATTCTCAGAGATTGCAAAGTTTGGACGATCCTTGGTCTATGGAATTATGAATGGCATTGCTGCAAAAGTGGCCTGTTGACATAATGAAGCTTACTCTCGCTCTCCCAGAAAAGACCTCAGGAGCTGTGCAATTTCCCTGTACACGAAATGCGCGGGCGCAGGTTGGAATGGGCCCGACTCTGATAAACACTGTGGCACCTAGCACGAGATATTGTGGGAGTGGCAGTGTAAGGGACACAAACCACATACGCTCGCCTTTCAGATCTGGTTCTCAGATGCTTCCCTTGCTTTTCTAGTAATCCTTCTTGCCAATTCTTCCTGCAAACTTCCCTACATTGCATCCAAGCCAGGTCTGTTGGAGTCGAAGTAAGTCCAAATTTGCGAGGGCTGAGTGTACTACTAGCAATGCCCATCCACTGAATCAAAATATTTGGGGGTAGGGCAAGTCACCAGTATGCCTACTTATAGTCTTTCTTATTACCTTTTGGACTGCTAGCATACCAAATGCCTTTCCCAAGAAAAAAAAAAAAAAACTTTCTTTGAAACAAGCAAGATATTATATGAAATTCTTCATAGCACATAACACTCATGCCTAGCCAAACAAACATGTTGATTCAGAGGTCTTTTACTGTGTGACACAGTTGCTACTGGCTAGGATGGTCGAGAATCAGTCACCAAGTGCTCGTCACATTTGCAGTTTGTCTTGCTCCTGTCACCGGTTATCCAAATATCACTTCAAATCATTGTGTCAAAACATCAGAAATAGAAAAGCATCGTCACTTGTAAATAAAATTGTTTGTGTGTCTTTCTCGTCTAAGGCAGACCCCATATTTAAGCCATTTCATTGGCGACAATGTATTTAGAACAACCAAATGACCTGGGGTGGGAGGGGGGGGGGGGGGGGGTTGAAGTGTTGAAGTGGTTGGGATGTCCATGAGTCAGGGTGCGGAGAGGGGGAGGGGGGGTCAAAATGCCTGTGCAATTCAGTATATTATTTATAGGGTCGGTTGGACTTCAAGGGGAGACGGCTGAAGCCCCATAAACCTCCCCCCTGGCTACGCCACTGAGAACAAACAACATTGATGATGGTGCCATCTATTAAAGAAAACATGAAGCAAGCACTGAAACCAAGAAAACCAAAATCCAAGTCAGACTAATGGTCAGGTTCGATGGTTTGGGAGTAGCAGCACAAATCAAGCTCGTGACTATAGTAGTAGGCAAGAGGTTACACAGTGCATCCGGGACATAGTAAGCCTCATGAGAAAATTTGGTCATGCCTTCATGTGGAGAGACCATTCTGCTGAGGAATACTCACTGTGAAGGACAGTCTTCTCCTCCATGGGTTTCTCTTCTGCACGCCTACCCCGTTTGTTTCGCTTGGACATGATCTCGTCCAACTCCTCCTGTTCCTCCTGCAAATTAAGCGACGAGACGTCTTGCATGTTTGCTCAGAGAATTCCCGATTTCAAGAATACATTGAATAAGCCTCACAAATTAAGCAATGCAGTATTTTCCATGTCTTAATTTTCTAGCCTAGTCTTTTTGCAACCTGACTAGCACGCAAATATAACAATGTTATTTTTACAGTCACACTTTAAAAGTGTGCCAATCTATTTCTGTTTAGAAACTACAATAATATCCCAATTCAATACTCAACCCTAATGAATAATAATTTGTGGAAAAAGAGGGAAGCAATATTTTAGAATGCTGCAGAGCTGCATTCCAAAACATTGCTTCCTGAAAGACATTTGACCTAAATTGAGGTGATAAACTATACTTTTTTTTTTAAACTGCAGATCCAAGTCCGATTTTTAGATGCACAAACCTACATCCTATGATAGATTTTTTTCAAATTCACACAAAAATGAAAAATAGTGGATACAAAAGAGGCAGTACCAATACAGGGCCAAGCAGTGTACATACTGCAACAGATTGTACTTGCTCAATTCTCCTGTATTATTACGTACATGACATCACAGGCAATGAAAAGACATTTGCAGCAATGCCAATTAACAATCAGTTTCTACCTTCTGGTGGGACCATATGTTCAGACATAACCGATGGCCCTTCAAATTGAACTATTCCAATGCACCAATGGCTGCCTAGACATATAATTGCACTGATTCTCACAGAGCATCTGTCCTTAAAATTGGTCCATAGAGTCAGTCCATAGTTTTGGCACACGGTTGCGACACACAGTTGCAGCACGAATTGCCAGAATTGCCGGACAGCTGTGTGTGACAAGTTCGGTAACCTTACGTCTGTGGGCTTGAGGTTGCGTTTCTCATCCTGGAAGGGCGCCCAGGGACCGGAGAAGCCCTCGATGTCGGCGGGGTCATTGTTCTTTACTTTTTTTCTCTTGTCGCCAGCCCTGGATTTCGTCTTCTCAAAGACAGTGGCCGCATTGCTCGAAGACGCAGAGTCGGACGAACCAATCATTCGGTGGCCCTCATCCATCGAGCCATCAGCAGTAGGGTCTAGGGCATAACCTGCGCAAAGATCACATTCAGTGAAGGGGGTAGTGCAACAATTTTAATGTTGAAAGAATTTGCAGTTTGTATTTTTTATATTGTTTATCTGGGCACAAGCGACAAACTATGCGCCACCTGGCCCAAAAAACGGCTATTCTGCTGATTAATCGCAAAGGAAAAAACAAATTATTGGCCATCTGCAGACGTGTGTGGCGGTTACGGGAACCATGGTGACATGTCTCTGGGGGACGTGCGAAGTGAACAAAACCTTGCGTTGCGGTGACGTCAATGACCTCAACACCAATTCAGTTTCCCCGCCGCCAAATTCAGCGGGGAAAATGATGCCACATGACTTTGTGTCATGTCACCGATGAACAAATCCAGCTTCTCCACTAGATTTAGCAGGAAAATTGACGTCACGTGACCTCAACACCAGTTCAATCTCCGGCTAAATTTAGCGGGGCAGTTATGCCGACGGCGACGGCGACGGCGCGAAATGCGGAAATGGGAGCCTAACAGTTGCACTCTAAAAAGAATAAGGGAATGACATGCATATAATGATTGACGTTTTCTTCATCGCTTCAATGCAGTCTTCATCATCGTATGGGAAAAAAACACACTTCGACCATTCGCTCTGTGCTCTGGACTCGTGATAAAAGGCTGCACATAGCACCGACAACCAACACCAATTTCAAGCACTTGCGTGCTGCACATGCTTCAAGTTGGATGGCATTGGTTGTTGCTATCTGTCCCTTAAGTGAGACTATACTCCCTTTCACACTTAATGTGCAACGTTGTCAATGTGCTGGTGCGAGCGCGTGACTTCACCTGAGGTCTCATTCGCTCGAGAGTATGCGGTAATGAGCCGCAAGATGAAGCCACGTACTCGAGCCAGCAGCTTTGACAGTGTCGTACTGGTTGTGTACTAAATGTAAAACCGAGTATAAAGACTTGCATTATTGTCCCATAAGCGGCCATTATGACGGCCTTGCTGCTGAGAGCGGCCATATGCGCAACATACATTGTGCACTATTACTTTTGTTTTTCTGGTCAAAAACAAGCAGGAATGACCCCCATCATAGTGCGATGACATCAAGTACAGGGCTTACAGTCCGTACATGGCCGAATTTCTGGAACATTACGTGAAATAGAATTTGCGAGAAAATATCAAAATTGGGGATTACAGCCTTTTGTTAAGAAAACCAGAAATTTATAATTTTGTGAATGTAACCTATGCGGAGAACAAGTCGTCTGCTTCTTGCGCAGGCATTGCGGTAACGTCAGAACGACGCCGAGCCCCAATTGAAAAGATAGTGGTTAGACCTCCATACCCAGATGCCTTTAGATCTACCCACTACTTCTTTCAATCCGCCAATAACAGCTCGGCATTCTGAATTCATCGCACCTTTGTGCAAGAAGCAGACAAACTTGTGCTCCGCATAAGATTCAATGCCAAAAAGAAAAGTGTAGTGCCATAGAATAACAACTATACGCTTCCAAAAGTCTAATTACACTACTGCATATTTATATTTTACGAGTCCCATCTAACATATTCCCGGAGAACATTCCCAGCATTTTTAAGCATGTGCCGCGGCAATGATGTCTAAGAAAGCTGTATATGAACAAGAGAAAATGCACATACATGTGGCAGGGCCAACAGTAAGCTGATCTCTGGAACACAAGGAGCACGACATGCCAAAAAATAAAGTACCGCGTTTCATGCAGATTCATGTGCCTCTGAAACAGCGATTCTCTAACCGTGGTCTGCGGAACCCCCAAGGGTCCTCGAGAGTGTTCAGCGTGGTTTGTGTATATTAGAGGACTCTGAAATGGCAAACTCAATCTGTCTTTTCACGGGAGGAGCAGTCACAATCTTCAGTGTGCATGACAAGATCGATGCAATTATCAAGAACCCCCATGTTTGAAGCAGCCAGATGGAAAACAAGGTTTTAGACTCCTTTCCCCAGTTGAATAGTTTTGAAGAGTCCTCCGAAGTGGAGCTGCCAAGAAAGTTGAGGACCATGATTCAAGAGCAACTGCAGTCCCTGAGAGCAAGAACGAGAGAATACTTTCGCAATCTCCGTGCCGACACAGGCTGGATAATTAATTAATTTCAAGAAAAAGCCACTAGAAGACGACACGCTGCTTGAGCTGTTCTGCAGTACATCTTTGCAACAAGTGTTCTCCCAATGCACCCTACCAATTTGTGAGGGCGAGTGCTTTCGTAATGCCCTCACATGTCCGAGAAAACACCAAGACTTGCTGCCATTTTTAACGACCTTCCTGTTTAAAGCCAGGTTTTCTGCACTAGTTCACATCAAATCAAAGTCACAAAACAGGATGATGTTGAGTCAGACTTACGACTTAGATATTTTTCCAATGAGCTTGATATCAGCAGCCTTGTTTAAACATACAAAGATACTTTTCACACAGACCGTGTACTGCGAGTGCCAGTTCATTTCAAGAACCAATAACGTAATTTGAGCAGCTGCAAATATAGTACCGTTTTCTGGTCCTTATTCCCGTGCCCTTTTATGTGTGCTTTCTCATTATCAATACTGTACTCAGTGAAGGTCTCTGAATGTCCTCTGAGCCGGTTAGGGTGTCTGCAACGGACAAAAGATTTAGAACCGCTGCTCTAGAACACTTCTGATTCGATACATTCTGTATTTGGAGCATTTGCGAGACAGATAGAAAATGTGGAATGACAAAGTGGTGTGATGCCGTGTGAAAAAACATTGGAGTGGTGCAGTCGTTGCCACACCTTTCAGGTTATGAGGAAACAACCAGGAGCTTGAATCCCGGCTACCACAATATTGCTTTTCGATTACATGGTAATCTTTATTTCCATTTGATCAGTATGGTTCGGTCATACGCCCAAAGAAAAAAAGCTTTGTGTGCCAGTGGCTCCCTTCTGGTAAGCTGCTGCAAAGTGGCAGCTGCTAAACATCCTCGATTGAACAATTTATAGATTTAAAAAAAATAATTTCTAAGCAACTGTAGATTGCTATAGAAGCAAATGCCCAGTGGTGTCCCATTCTGGGGAGGCAGAAAAAGGTTTTCTTCCTCGATAATTTTGTTTGTGACTATGCCGGTGGAGTTTCTTGTAGCACATCATACTATAATATGCTAAAAGGAAATCCATTGCCAGATTATAAGGATATCAGAACACTAGAGCTCCTGGCATCGCTATGATTAGAATATAGCTAGAAATATCAGGAGGAACTCCAGAGTTCAACAATGGCGTGCAAGGCACGAGCACGATCGCAGAGCTTAGAAGATATCTTTCTGATACGAGTTCTTGCATGCAACACAAGACTCAAGGAAAACAACATAAAAATGTGGCTTAATAAAATATCTAAAAAATGCTATGGTTACAATGGGATTCAGGGGGAAGGAAAACAATTAAAAGCTTGTTACAAAATAAAAGAGCACTTTGAAATTTATTTATTTATTTACATATACTGCAGGCCCCACATGGGCGCAAGCAGGACTGTTTAGTTGTTAACTGTTTAGAGCAAATTATAAATTACATTCTCTATACAATTTTGTATTGTTTGCATCGCTATGTTAATAAAGGTTCTACATGATTACAAACACACTTGCTAGCACTTTTGGTTTTGTAGCACTTCTGCACATATCTTGTCTTTTATATTTGTGTACAGAATCAGAAAGACAACAACATATGGTTCTGCTCCCAGTAAGAATTCAAATAAAAAAGAAAAATCGAGTCCTTCATTCATAACAAAGGCTGTTTATCTAAGATAGCACAAAAGACACTTCTGCGGTGACCCTGAGTTACAGTGAATTACAGTGCGAAACTCGGGAGGAGCTGAGCCGTGTCACACGGCTGCCGAGATGTACAGATGTGAACGAGGAATGCTGGTGTCATGCGCAAACATTAATGCTCGTGAACGGACGTGCATCGCTGCCCTGGTGGTTGAACTACTGCCTTGTTCAAGATGGCGCCCGTGAGACCGCAGCCTTAAAAGCACAGGGATGCCTCTTTGTTGCAACATCAGTGAATGCTGCAGATTTAGCAGCAAACAGGTGCTAGTGTTATTCCGCTCGGAACCAGTCAGATAGCTATGAAGAGAAGCAGCTGTAGGTACCAGTGTATTATACAACACTCCCGGTATTAGTACAAAGAAAAGAACTGCAGGGGACAAGATAAGCTACAATGGGTAAAAAAGATGTTTAGGAGGACTCAATAGGAAGTTCTTTGATTTGGCTCATTTGCCTGGGGCTATCAAGAATCAACTCGCCCCCCCCCCTTCCTTTCCACCCAATCTCAACTGCAGGTAGGCCTTTAAAAGGATCTCTTATTATAATAGTAGCTTATAAAATAACTTAGTATGTGCATTATTTGAAATATGTAGACTATTTCTCGAAGGTAATGAAGGAACTAGGTCTTCTACATTTGTACACTATGTGGCACTCTTGGCACAAACATGACATTGGCATTTTTTCATACTTTACTTTAATCAAACTTTACCACTGATCAAATTTTACAGTTGAAGTTAGTGCTCCAGAGCAGTACTTTCCACCATACTAGCAGTTATGATGGCAACTTTTTGATTTTATGAGAAAAAAAAAAAATAACAGTGATCGTTTGTTTATATTGGCAGTGTCACACTAGGCACACATCTGGATTTTAGAAAGTGGAAGGCCTCTTACCGAAACTGCTGAACGTGAGCCTCTGAGACTCAAAATGGAAATCGTTGACATGTGCCGGCTCCACATAACCAGCTAGGGTGTTTTTGAAGGCCTTTTGCTGCTGTGTTTTGAAGGGGTTCTCTGGCCCCACCTATACGAAATAGTGCACGCAAGTTAGTTGCCTTGAAGACATCACTGTGTGGGGTAAAGTTTGAATAACTGACAAGAGCAAATGATAACTGATAGAAGCAACAATGCCTCTTCAACACTGCAATAGACAAACAAAAAAAAACTCCTTAAACATCAAGGAATGCAACTTAGAGTAGGGTTTCTCGGGGGATAACACAAACACATAGACCTCAGTTTCGAAATTTTTTTTTTAATATATATATACCCCTTTAGAGTAAAGCTATATGCACGAAGTTGTGCTCTTCGACCGGAAATGGCTATATGCACGACGCAAAACTTGGTGCGTCTTGTACAAAACAAATGGTCAAAACACGCTTCTGAAGCGGTGGCGTAGCTTAGTGAAAAGTTGTCTGCTTCATACACAGTGAACCCAAATTCCATCCACAGAGTGGGCTTACTTTTTTTTTTTTTCCTCAAACCTTTTTTTGTGTTCATTCGGTGATATTTACGACATTTCTTTTTTTACAATTATCACTGAAAAAAAAAAAAAAAAATGTTTCCCACAAAACTTTGCTGAATTAAATGGTGTGGGACTCCCTTTAGGCCCACTTCAGCCGAGGCAATTTCTCCCAGCAACTTGATGTCGCAACACCAGCAACACGGGCCGTCCCCGTTCACACGCAGCAACCGATTGCGGCTATTCGCTATCATCATTACATTTTATTTTTCTTGTACTACTTAGACGTACAGTTACGTGCTATAAAAGTGTTTTTATACATTTAAATGGCGTTGACAATACTAACTCATTTTTGTGAAACGGTTTATTTAAAAAAAAAAACTAAAAAAAACTGGTCAATTATAAATTAGAATCAATACTTTAGTTGTCAACAGTGATTTTCCTACCCACCCCCTAGAGGGAGGTGTACACCCCCCTTAGTTCGCCTGAGGGCGCCACCTAAAACAGAAAAGAAATTGCCTCCGTGTGCTTAGCCCCCCCCCCCCCCCCCCCCCCCCAAACACATTCCCAAATTTTAATTCCTGGGGAAACCCCTGGTTGTCATCATCACCGGCACAGTATCACGTGAAAATATTGCGTCCCTGATTGGCCTGCTGCCGCTTCTAACGTCTTCAAATTGCTCCGAGTTGCTCGATTGTTTCAAGCCGGACCCGATCTCAGCAATTTGTGTTGATCTAGGGAAAGCTAGGGAACAAACCGTCAGCAACCCCAAATTTCTGAGAAAGTTTCCCCGTCAGAAGCGAACCTTATGGAGGTACAATGGGGGACAGCGGCACTTGGGATGTGGGCTGGAGGTGCAATGAGGGAGTGTTTGGGGGGGGCCAAGTGGGTTAATAGTTTTCTAATGAGCAGCCGCAGACTGCCGCCGCGAAGCAGCGTGATCGCAGGCAGGTGGGTGGGTTAACGCGCTTCCTTGTGATCCAGTCACTGCACGAAAAAGGTAACCCAAATGGCATGAGCTCTCTACGTCATGCATATAGCCATTTCTGGTCAAGGTGCACGACAATGTGCGTATAGACGTTTTTTGTTTCATGTCGTCCTCAGTCACGTGGGTTCCGTACCTGGTATGCGGGACGAAAAAATAATATAGCATTTCAACCTGGAATATGCGAGAAAATATAGGTGAGGCAAAACGAGAATTTGAGACAATCACAATTTTTCATAAACACCTTCCAGTGGCGTGGAGAGATCAAAATTATGTTTTACCGCATACCACAAGTGACGACATTGAAGATGGCTGCGCCCTTGTGGAAAAGGTGTATCTTTACTCTATTGCAGAGCAGTATATGTAGAGAGTTTGGCCATTCGTTGAGAACTATAGGAAACAAATGAGGAGGCGCCATTGGCCGAAAGCGTGCTGGGTGCGTTTCAATGCGTCTTCACTAATTCGAATGTGGCCAACCAGAAGCCGGAAATAATACCCTAGTGGTGGTCACGAGAAACAAACTTAATAAGTGCGTCGGAGTAACTCTCGGTGACTGAAAATATGGTGCACATGACGTTTCCATCATGGTCATCTAAAATCTTGGTGGAAGAGTGAGACTTGCAGAACATTGACATAATCCGTACGCCAGGCACCGAGGGCCGGGAATCTGCTGCCTGCGTGGTCACACTCTGTCCGAGCAAAACACAGTTTGAGTAACACATTCGTTTCTTACACCTTTCTGCATGATCATAATCGCAACATCATGTGCACCCTATTTTCAACCATGAAGGGTTACTACATTTAACTCTTATGCGCTTATTAAAACCATATACCTATGATTAAAACTGTTTCTCGCTACCACTGCTAGGGGATTCTTTTCAGCTTCCGGTTGGCCAAGAAAGCATGTCAAACCCTTTTTCTGTGTCTGGTGCACGCCCTGGCTCTGCTCGCGCCTCCCATTGACCAAACGCTCTCATACACGGCTCTGCTCTAATGTTTAACCTCTATCTTAACATTACTATGTTTGTAAGAAAAAAAAAAAAATGCTTTGCATTTTTTTTTGGTACTCGAAAACTTTGGCTACAAGATAACCTTTTACATTACTGTGACACCATCAAGAGTGATTATCAGCCTGATGGTGACATTGCACAGATATCAGTGAAAAGAATACAACTCACGACTGGAGCGAAGAGGTTTTCAAACTTCGGATTGTACATGAGCTCTTTGCTGTTCGGGTCCACTGGCTTGACACCGCAGACAGATTCCTACAGAGAGACAACACAAATCACAAAGGGACCCGCATCGGGCGCTAACAGACGTGGGTATCCTGTTTGGGTCCATATCACAAGAGCGAATGACATTTTAGCGAACGGCGACATTTGAGCGAATGGTCGTTTTAGCGAATAACGGGGGCGCGCGTTAACCCATCCGTCGCGCTGCGCTTTACGCCGCTTCGCGGCGACAGTCTGCGGCAACTCATTACAAAAATATGAACTCATTTGGCCCACCCGAAAACGCCGCTTCGCGGCGTCCGACTATTCGCTAAAGTGTCGTTCGATGAAACGTGGGCGTTCGCTAAAACGTCATTCGATCAAGTGAGTGCCTCCCATCCTGTTTAGTTGACAATCCGTCTTGCGACCTCACAACGACAGCACGTTGGCTTTCGTCAAGCGCTGTTCTCATCCTTACCTTAATAGCAACATCTGGCGCCGCGTTAAGCTGGTATTTCTTGTGAAGGGATATGATCGACGATGATTTTGGAAGAAGAAATTTGTCTGGTTTTTCAACCGAAACATCGTTCTTCGCAGAATCATCGTCGTCGCTGCTAGCGTACTCGCAAAGCGACAGTATTGCCGCCATTTTAACTCTCAGTCCTCAAGGTACGCAGCAAATAAAAATACTCTATTTTTCGTTAGCACTCTAATTAACGAAAATAACACGTTAATTAATAAAATATTACATCATGCGAGAAACTAATATTATTTTTGTCATATTTTTAAATAAGTAGCATTCGCCAGAAAATGTCATCTAGGTCGCCATCTTATGCTGAAGGTTGTGCCAGTGTTCAGGGACCTGAGGATGACGTTCGTACATGCAGTTATTAAATGCTCTTAACAAAATCATACAGTTAGAATCTGTGGAACAAATCTCGCGTCTCGGGGAGACGGAGAAGGCTTCGGCCGGATTCTTAGGGACCCCTTAAATGTAAAGGTGAGTGAGCTCGGCGCCAGCACCTCGGTCACCAGAATTCACGGACATCTGTGACGTGCTGCTCGCGCTCCGTGTTTCGCCTCACCACAAATTCGTAGATACTGTGAATGCAAAGAAAAGCATTGGATCCTGCGTAAGGTGTCACGCAGCTCTATTTACCCGCTGCGCCTGCAAACTTCCTGTACACATACGCTTAATATACGTCTCGATGCTCGATCATTACGTGCTCGCTTCGGGGAAACACGTGTAATTCGGCTTATTTCGTATAATACCCAATAGTTTACGAATTTGCAATTTCATTTTTTTAATTTTGTTGGTCATAAACGAGGAATTTTCTCGAAACGAACGCTCAGAACACGAAACTGGACGAGGAACTTGTGCTTTGCGTGCGGTACTATGCGATGCTGTCATCGCTTGTTTCCGTCTTTGTAAAGGCGTTTTCTTTTTCTGTCCGTAATTCTACCTTAGATTTTTGTGTTGTGGGGGCGGGATGCGATTTCATTGTACAAATTTCAGCTGCAACAGCGTCCTTTTTTTCTTTTTTGTGTGTGTGTGTGTACGTGTGTAGTACCGGTTGGAATTTAACTCGGAGTGCAGGGGCCACAGTCGTCAAAGGGAAGTGGGTGAGGTCGCTCCGTGCGTGCAACTTTTTTCTTTTTTTTTCTTTTCTTTTCTCGGCTTGCGGATGTCGCCTCTTGACGAATGACGCAGAATTCCTGATGAGATTCTTCCAATCTCCGCACGTTCCTCGCCCTGGAAGCTTGAGACCGTGGATCCCCAACGACGTTTCTTCATTTTGTGTAATTTTTTTTATCGTCTTTTTTAAACGCTTGATTCGTATTCAAGAATTCGTCTGGCACGATCCGTCGTGGAGACGCGGGTTGGCTCGTTGTCAAAGATCATTTCTCACATACGAAGGTCGGTTCTTTCTCCTGTTTTTTTTTTTTTTAATTATTTTTATTTATTTATTTATTATTCCCGTCCGAGCTTTTTGAACATTAGCGTCGGGTGGCGACATGCTGTTTCGGCAGTATTCGTTGACGAAAAATTATCCATTACAGCAACTCGTTACGCTGCTTGTTTCTAAAAAAAAAAAAAAAAAAAAAAAAAAAAAAAAAACTAGGATAAAAGCTGTAGGTAAGACCATGAAAGTTGTATATCTTTTTATCTTTTTTGTTTTCGTTTCTTCCATTGTTTATAAAATGTAGATTTTTTTGTTTGTTTTTATTGTGAAAGAGAAACCGCAGGCAACAGTTTGTCGTGACAGGATATGAACCTAATACTGTCACAACTTGAGCTTCAAAAACAAAGAAAGCACACAAAAAAAGAATAAGAAAAAAAAAAAAAAGTCTGGGGCACGCCCATGCAGTTGAGCGTTTGTGCCAATGCTGCCTGTACCAAACTCCTGTTTCCAGAACTCTTTTGAAGTTGCAGTCCAGTTTAAAGCCTGGTACAGCCAGAATTACTCTGATCTTTTAATTGCTTCTGCATCCCAAACCTTGCAAACATGATCATACTGTTATAATGTTTTGAACCAAAATAGTAAGATAATATTTTCTAAATGGCATAAGTTTGATGGAGAGGAGCAATGGGGGCACTTTTATGAACTGCAAATTGTAGTCGCTTTGATGCTTGGTAGTATTCTCATTTGAATGAGCACTTCATGGTCCTTTAGCTAAATTAAATTGATGACATGGTTCAGTTTTAAACCTCATGCATGGAAGGAGCTGCATAACATGATCATTATTCAATTACCTTTGTTGTTAATTTACAGCATATGCTGTGGAGGAATGTGTCTACTAACGAAATAGGTACTGTGCCCAGTGGCTGGGCTTCTGCAGCAAGCGTGACCCTTTTTCATGGTTCTTTCTGTACTTTCGTGCTTCTTTCCAAAATGAGGCAAGGTGACACTGGCTTGGGATTGTGTAATCTTGGGGAGGACACTTGGATCTCACAGTTGTGAATGATCGTGCTAAGATTGTGTAGGCTTCATACTTATCTCTGTCACCTCGCATGAGAAAGGACAGGGCAAGCTCCAGGTATTTTATCTGTAGGTCTTTTATCATCAGTTATTTGGCTTCTGTATTCCGACAACCTCTTGATAATTTATTTCTTTTTACTTTGAGCAGTTGGGCAAGGATTTCCTTTGTCAAAGCGACCGTGAAACTAGAACTGGCAGGGAAAAATGAGAGCATTCTTTTCTTCCTTTTTATTTTGCAGGATTTTTTTATTCAGTTCTCTTGTGCAAAGTTCAAGACTCGTGGCTGAGACTTGTGCATGCTTTTTTTTTTTTTTATTATTTTTAGCAAACCCCACAGAATGGCCTGTTGTTCATTGCAGAGATAATCCTGGTTTTGCTGGTTTTGAAAACAAGGTTATCTCATGGTACCCGATGTGTTGTATGCATGTGGCCCTCTGTTCGTGAGAGAGAAAGCCGTTGCAAAGAAAAGAGAAATCTGAACCTTGTCTGTGCTTGCCGTTTATTAGACTAAACTCGGATAAGCAAAAGCCAACACCCGTTCCATATTTTGCAAATGTTAGTTTATTCGAAGCACTCAAGTTAGAGCATATTGTTCCATGGTCCCCCAACTTTTTTTAATACTGCAAGTGGCATATTTTGATATAGCATAATTTTATGCAAATTCGGATAATAAACTAGCAATTAAAAATAGATTGCACAAATTCGTCACTCCAGTTGACTCCTGATAGCAAAATTCTGCATCTGCAAAAAAATTCCAAAAAGCAGTGTTTTAGCACTTTTGAAAAAAAAGCTTACAAATATACTCCCACTTCAAGTATGAACTCAACCTAAAATATGTAATGTTTATATGAGTTGGCTACATCATTCTCTCTGTATCATATTTCACTGTATGATGCAGACATGCAAGCTTATTTCCCCTTGCAACAGAGTGCATGTGGTACGATTAATGCTCTTTCTGTATAGACGATTGCAAGCAGGGCATATGGCCGCCACCACATTTCTGCTCGTGGGAGCAAGCATGTGCAATTGTGAGCCTGGAGAAGGTACCTTCACGTGCTTGCTGCTCATATTTTCTTTCTACACTTTCTGTTGTGCCTGCTGTACCCTTGCTCAGTGGGGTAATATGGGACGATGTTAGCAAAAAGGAAATGCTGCCCTATTTATGTCAGAAGCTCTTCTCTCACGTTAATCTTTTTTGTATATTTTTGCCTGACCTAGACAGCACAATGTTTGTTACACAACACCTACTTTTGCTATTTCTTTCTGTTCCAGATTGTGGCAGATTTTAATGAGGTCAAAACTAAAAGATATAAGTGCAGGCACCTGATACTGCTGTTTCCAGTTTTGCTTTTTAGCATTGTTGAGATTGTTTGGCTTGTTCCTCTTTCTATATTATTAAGTCACATGCCATATTTTTGTGTGGGGTATGGGAAATCATGGCGGTTTCCCCATCCGGGTCGGATAAGGATACGTCTGATTTCATTTTGCGGACTCGGTTGGAGGAGGACAACTTTACTATCTGCACACGGAGGAGGAAGTTGAAAATTGTCATAGCATATTTTCTGACTTTGCTTTTTCAAAATTTACTATAATATTTCACTCTTTGTCACTGCAAATCACCTTCCTCTGCACCTCATATTCTATACCACTTGTTCTGTCCCCTTTTTTATGGATGCTACTCGTTAGTTAGCTAAATACTTGGCATGTATTTCTCGTTTATAAGCTCTTTGAACGTTCTTAGCCCCTTTCTCTGCCAGCATATAACCCCTTTTGGGTTTGGCCATTCATAGTTGCATTCAACATGGAGTTAGTCATATTAAATTGATTGAGCGGTGGTTTAGACAGCGGAAAAAACCATAAAATGGTGTCCAGAGCCTTCACTGCAGTTGGCCAATTTGGCCAGCGCGGTTTGGTTACTAAACTTGAGTGTTAATATGCATTGTACAGTATCAATTGCGGTAAACGACCGCACGCCGGTATGAGACTCGTCCAGATAAAATTAGGTTGGGGCTGGAATCCAAGATTGTTGGGGAAGTCGCTTAAAAAATTGTAGTAGGACTTTGTCCTTTCCCTACACTGTCTGCTGTTTCTGACAGCATGGTAACCGCAGGGTGGAGTATCAGTTGTCCCGCCTTTAACATGAGCTTCCTGCCTTCGAAAACGCTTGGGCTTCTCACGATCCTTGAGCGTGCGCCCCAGCCAAAGTAGGATGGAAGGGAACGAAAGCGTGCATCCGAAGGAAATGCCCTGCTGTCTTAGTCGTGTCGGCGAGCGAGTGTTGCAGGTTTGGCCGTCTTTGCAGCAGGCTTGGCCATGCCGCTGCTGCAGCGGCTCATCGAGCCCGTGCATGTGTCGCGGGGCGCCCTCCCGCTGGACGCCAAGGGGGCCCCCGCGATGCAGCTGCCTAGCGAGCTGGAGTGCGTCACCAACGGCACCCTGGCCAACGTGGTTCGCCAGCTGTCGTCATTGTCCAAGCACGCCGACGACTTGTTCGGTGCCCTCTTCAGGGACGCCACGGCCCTCGTGGCCAGGGCGGGGGCCCTCCAGGCACGGGTGGACAGGCTCACCGTCAAGGTGACCCAGCTCGACTCCACCGTCGAGGAAGGTGTGTTGTTTTCGTCTCAAAACGAGGACTTTGTTTGGGATCCCCGCTTGAACCTTGCTCGCTCGTTTGTGTCGGTGCTGATTGCCCCTTAGCTGGGCCATGGGAGAGAGCGTTGGTAAAGGAGCGCAGCCGTTGGTTCGACGTCGTAGTCCTCACGTCCAATGGTGTATCGCTGCATGGAGTGGGGGTTAAAGGAGGTGCAATGATTTCCGGACTTTGGTCAAATATTTATGGAAGTTGCCCTCTGACACTTCTGAAGTAAAGAACAGAAAACTGATTTTGCCTGCATGTCCTAGTTTTTGTGTAAAAATAGAGATAAATATTGGCATTTCTGGCACCCCTCAATTCACTTCCAGTCTTCAGGGTCTCACCTGGTCCCCCGCCTAGTGACGTAATTCGGGGTGCCGTGTAGGTTCCCGTGTGCTCTCTCGGAGGACGCTTTCTCTCCTTCTCTCTGCTGACATTGGCGGGCGTTATGCTGCAGCTTAGAGCCAAGCGAGGTCACGTAAGCCTCTTACCGCAGTTCCTTCGGCTGCCACCCGTGACTGCAGGTGAAAGAAAAAGCTCGACTTTTGCTTTGCGATTATGCAGGGGAGTCGCAACATTTTTTAATGAAGGAGATGTTTTCTCTATCTTACGGGACATGATAAACAATGTAAAAATGCCGGGATGCAAAATCTTTTCATCTTAAAATTGTTGCACCCCCCCCTATAAGGGGTGTGTGCTACCACTGGAAGTTGCAAGGCAGAATACTGTGTAAAGTTTTATTTGTGTACATGAATTTTGCAATAAATTATAGCAAATTTTATCAGGAACATGCTGACATTGTTTAGGAAAGCTACTGTTAGAAAACTAATGTAATACCCAGATTTTTCTTTGCTAGATATGCAGCAGAATGCCTGTAGAGTGCAACTATGAAAACGAAATTTCGAAAAGTAATTTGTATTATGCTAACATCGTGCTGAAAAATAAAATTTTTTACCCTTTATGTTGTCGACAATTTCTTAGCATATTTTATAAAAGACATTGTCAAAGTAAGAAAAAAAAACAAAAACAGTTGCACAGTTGTATTGCCCATTAAATTCCAGTTAGGAAAAACAATGAGTGATCCTTTCCTTTTGTCCCGTCGTCACCAAACGATAGTTTTCCTAAAATTAAATTTATGTTAAAAAGTGGAATGTAGAAAAATGTGCTCCAAGTGCTAAAACCTCTACCTTTTCTGTATTGTAGGTGTGAAAAAAAAAAAAATAAATAAATAAAAAAAGCTATGCTGTGTAAACAAATTAAACTTTTTGGGACTACTCTCTGGATGTTGGTGGACGTATATATAGCCTATTTTAAATTCAACTTTCCTTTTGTGCAGAAATTTTTTTTTTTTAATAGTGTATCCCTTAAGCTGTGCACTAACACTTCCCCCTTCTTTCCGCCGCGTAGAGATGAGGGCTGCCGAGTAGTGTGAGAAAGCTGTATTAGTAGAATACCCTAGTAGGTGCAGAGGTATTTTTACGGTCAGATTGTACGTGCGGCGGCATTTCAAAGAAAATTATGCGGTGCCCCCAAAGAAGAGCTGCATGGAGGAAAAATTCCTTCGTACGTTCAGAATTCCTTCACCACAATGCCTCATTGTATTTCATTCGGTTTGAAAGTGCTGATCGTTTAAAACCCCGTTAATTGCTATCGCACCTTCATTCTATTTGACGAAATGTCTAAGCCAGGCAATCTTTTTTGCAACAACCTTTTCACAAGGGGCTCCGGACATGGCTGCACAATATGAAGCGAGCACCCAGTCTCTGCGGGCATAAATTTCTAGAGTGCCGCACGTGCCTGAATTTTATATTTCAGCTTGTATTTTGACCGCAATCCTGGAATTTAAGCAGTCAATGGTTGGATGCATACTAGGTGGTAGATGTGTATGTGATCGGCGACTGGTTTATGGGGTGCCACCCTTGCGGTTTCAGGGCAAAGTGCCGGCCTGCGAATCCTCAATAAGCAGGTTCAAACCCCAGTAAGGCTGCGCGCAATATGACAAAGGTTTTACAAAGAAGGCGGCATTAACCAAGGTTTAAGTTGCACGTCAAAGGACACTAATGTGGTCGAAACTAATCCTCAATTCGTTGCTGGGGTGTGTCAAATGCCCTTTGTTTGGCTCGTAAATCCTCAAATTTGCCTCAAGCAGGTTTCTGGTTGTTCACAAGAATGCATCTACAGGCTTCCCCGCCAAGTGTATACACTCAGCGATAACAAATAGAGGCTATATAGGGGCAGCGCTTACACTTTCTCGTTTATTTGGGACATGGAGGGTTTTCTTTTTTGTTAGTTTTTCACAATTTTACGAGTGTTACATTTTGAGCAATTGAATGCACTTCTACAGTTTTTTTAATTTGTGAGGATTAAAGAATTTGTTGCAGGGTGTCACGCTGTCTCACCTAAGTGGACAAGCTACGGAAAGTTTTGACTCCTTACTGCTTATTTCTAGCGTGCCGTGCTTGTGGGCAACCTGGCGATCCAAAGCGTTCGAGCAGGTTGCCTGCACATTAAATCGTCTGTGGTAATTTCCGCCTTGATGTTGTCAAGTGCAACGGGCCGCGCGAGCGGCGCTCCACCACCGATAAAAGGCCGGTGTGCTGTATGCACAAGGTCGTATCGCAGCACAAACAGTCAGTAACTGACTGTGTTGTTAAACGAGTGTGTCGTGTCATACTCTGAGGCGGGCAGCAGCGTGGGAAATACCACAATGGCACAAATACAGGAAAGATAGCTGTCGATTAGCACAACCTCTGGCTTCACGAAACAAATGCGTAATCCAAAGAGCCAAGCTTCTAGAAACGCAGGTAGCAAGAACCGGAAGTCGTGCTCACGTCTTTCGTCATGCGATGCTACTCGATGCCCTCGTTGCACTTTTTTTTGGGAGGTGCTCAACCGGAGAAACTTACTGTTCCTTCTCTGCCGCAGTGTCCCTGCAGGACATCCACATGCGCAAGGCGTTCCGCAGCTCGATCGTGTACGACCAGCAGGTGGTGTCTCGAGCGACCATGCCTGCAGGCATGCTGGAGATGTATCAGGCCTGCGACAAGCCCCCGCCCCTGGACAAGCTCAACCCTTACAGGTTACCTCTTCTTTTGCGTGCCCTCACTGGTAGGAGTTCCTAAAGTTCCGGACGGTGGCGCGTTGCGCTAAAATCACGCCCCAAAGTTGATAGGTTAATTTGTGAAAATGCCATGTGTGTCTAGTCAGTGGCGTTACTAGGGCCACTGGCACCTGAGGCGGTGGCCCGCTGCGACACCCCCCGCCCCCCTTTGCACTGCACAGCTGCACCCCCCTTGCCAATCTGCCCCCCTTGGCCCCCCCCCCCCCCCCCCCCCCCTCCTCCTTGTGATGCCACTGCGTGTAGTATACTATAGTTGTCGAATGCAAGTTAAGAATGCGTCAAACGCTGTGCCTCCTGCACAGGCTTGTTACCTTCCGTCGCGCTTTGCGTGGACATGCTCACGAGACTCTGGAGTGTTACCGAAGCTAGAAAGCTTGCGCCAATGGCAGAACATCTGGTTCATTCTTCACATGTATCTTACTTAGACCAGTTCTGTGTAGGTAGAAACCCTTAAAAGATGTGTTTGGACGTTGCCGACGGCTAGCATTTGGCGGTTACTGAGAGCAGGCATTCTTAGAGCACGACTCTTAGGCGCCCATTTTCGCTTGAGTGGTGATGCCGTCGCCGTTGGCCTAACCGTGCACTGCAATATGGGACGTTTCTCATAATGTCGTCACGAAGGCATTTGCCCGCTAAATTTTCCCGCTCAATATAACGGGGGAAACTTTTACGCTAAATTTAGCAGAAAAATTTCCCGCCAAATTCAGCGGGAAAATTTTACCCTCGTGACATCAGATGTGACGTCACGTTTGATGTCACGCATGACCCTCCCCTCCTCCTCCTCAAAAGCTGCGCTTTAATTCGACATTACAGAGAATTGTAAAGATCTTTCATTTTTTTATATGCCTCATGGGTTGTTGTAGATGGGGTCTAGGGAGGAGGCTTGAAGTCGTTCCAACCTGTTAGTCGCCACATCAGTATGTTGATGTTTCTTAGCAACAATTATAGCAATGGCAACAACTGTTTGTTTTCTTTGCTGCAATGGGTGTCGTGCTGAGAATAAAGTGCCCTCATTTGTTAACGTGCTTCATTTTAGTCGCATTCTCTAGGTTCTCCCAAACTCGTCAATACTAGCCTGTCAAACGTTACGTAATGCAGGCTTTGCAATCATTAGACTTGCTGTCTCTTGTCTCTCCTCTGGGACATGCTGTCTCTCTTCTTAAAAACGATGGGGCCACAAGCAAAATGTCAACTTTCTCAGGGGGCCACTAGCTTTGCTGCTCATTGTTGCTGGTGCCAGTGCATAGGGCCTCTTTCTAGATTACCCAGCTAATATTCAATTTGAATAGGGCCTGGAAGTACACGTGTTGTTGGTGCATTCAGGGATGGAAGCGCTTCGCCACTGTGCACCAATCCACTTTTGCTGCTCCATCCTGCTCCCAAGCGCACATGTTGCGCCACAACTAGCTGAAAAGATATTTTTTCTTTTTATGCTATAGTTATTGGAGAACTCTTCTTTATGGGCGACACTGGTTTACCTGTTGTGTTCGTCTAGGGAATTCTGAACCAATAGGGACTTTTAGCAAACCGTTGCCGTGTTTCGCCTACCGTGCACTACTGGAGCCTTTGAAGCACGGTTTTAGGCGCGCTCCCAAGTGATACCTTGACCACAGGGCATGCGATTAAAAGCATGCTTCAAAGGCTCCGGTAGTGTAGTACGCGGAACATGGTAACGGTTTGGTAAAAGTGCTAGAAGTTACGAAACCACCGTACCGATGCGATTGTGTCAACGGCGTGTAGGTCTAATCTCCGTTAATGGGACATGCTTAGGTGGCTTTGTCAAAAGTACTGAGACATCAGTTCGTAGTTTACTTTTATTTTTTATTTTTTTTGCACAGTGGCACTTAGCATGGCCGCGTGTATTCGAAATACCACAAACACACATATCAAATCCCGTATACCGTAAAGTCTTGTATGAATGCCCGCCCCAGAGAAATCATTCATCCCGTTTTTTTTTTTATCATAATGTACCGCGTGATCTGCGGTATCGGTACATGACAAGCTTGTTCGTCACAGGTTCCCTCGTGCTTATTGCACCGTAACACGGGAATCTGCAGCATCCGCAATATTATTATTTTATTTTTAGGGGCGAAGCTCCTTAAGGTCTAGCCTTGTCCATCCATCCGGCGTCCGTGCTCACATCGATTGCACTGCCTCCGGGATCGGCCCACTTTAAAAAAAACAACGTATGCCCGCACGGGGGTTCGAATTCAGGACTGCTTGCTTACGAGGCAGACTTCTTAACCACTACGCTACACTCAAACGTTGCATGTAGCCGCTCAAAGTCTATGCAGGAGAGGGCGCTGCGGTCCGTTAAACTTTGTATGCATTGGCTCAACGTTTATAAACGAAAGGGCGCTGCGGTCAAATTCTCAACTGCATATATAACCATGATCCATACCACACATTCTCTTTCTGACATGGACCATTGACTTAAGCGGTGGAGATGCATTCCCAAGAACCACTGGCTCTGCATTTCACAGACCATAAAGCAGTAATAATGAAGTCGAAATGCAACCCAGAACTCAGCACTACCCATGAGCAATAAAAAAAAAATCAGCACCATCAGCACTACCTATGAATAGGGTGTCTACTTTCCGGTGTTTATTTGTGAGAAAAATCGGCGGATGTTTTCCGGTGTTTATTTATTTTCGAAACACCGGTGCATTTCGGTGGAACGTCTCACGACGAGGCTAAAATCGGTGATTATCGGTGGAAAAAAAATGCGATTGATCACAGACAGAGAGTTCCAATTTTATTCACATATTTCATACACTTCTTCTCGAGGAAGCATCTATTTCTCACACTTGGTTATTATAGTAGATGCAAGCATACTTAGAGAGGCTTGCATCCGTCATGGCAGCACGTTCCTTGCGGTTCACAATCCGCAATTTTGAAAACTCACGCTCCACATTTGCACTGGACACAGGAAATTCCAAAATGTCCAGCTAGGCTTGGGACAGTAGTGGCCAGTCAGGTAAATGAAGTTTCCAAAATAACACTGGATCAACGGTGCTAATCACAGCATACTGGCGGTAACAAAGAAATTCTGATTCTAGGTCGCTCAGCTTGCGCTCGTCTTGGATGACCAGCCGATAGATACCTTCATAAGGTACAAATCACACTGGCAGCTCCAATTTTATGCACGGATTAACAATTTGCACGCGGAACCAGAACAATGATTAATCCATGAAATCTGTAGCGTAGTCATCCGGAGCTTTCCGCTTGCTTCCCAGCCTGGTGGCCTTCTACTCTGCGTGACGACGATACTTGAAGTGTTCGACGAAGGGAAGCAAGTCTCACGTCGAGAAAACCCGCAGACGCGGGACGCGCCTTCTTAAACACGTCTGCAAATTTTTTTTACAGAACGGTCCTTTTATATACAGTGAAAAACCCCCACTCCAACAAAACCCTTTTTCCTTTCCCCAAAAGCCCATGGAAACTAAACAGATAACAAGAAACGCATCTCGGTTTTGAAAGGTCAGTAGCCCTGTACGACACGGATGCTGGCAGTGTCTTTCAAGAACCACAGCGACCTCTGAATACATGGCTTGCACCAACATTACTTAGCCAGACACAATGGGGAAAGGGCACGTGAGAGCGTACCCTCCACTGCGTTAATTTTTCCACAAAAGGGGGGCCATGGGAGACACAATGGGGAAAGGCGTGTGCGAGCTTAGCTTCCACTGCCTTAACTAGATAGACGCTTTTAAACCCCGGGAAGGAGGGCGGACTGACGCCACGTGCAAGCCATGTATAGACACTGGAAGAATGCAGGAACCATGAGAAAACGCGTTTGACGAACCTCTACGGGTAAAGGGTTTTGCTAGGTCGGAAATGGCAACGACCGGTGTTTTTCGGTTTTGACCAGGGCAAAAATATCCAACCACCGGTGTTTTTCGGTTTTAACCGATTTTTTATTTTCGTCACCGACGGATGTTTATAGGTGTTTTTCGGTTAAAACCGGAAAATACACACCCTACCTATGAACAATAAAATCAGTATCATCAGCACCACCAGAGCTTCGCCCCAATCAACATCATTCACCACTCACCACGTGGAGATGCGGCCTCTTTTTCTTTTGTCTGCAATTTGCACGCGCGATATTGATTCCCGTGACACCCGAGTTTGTAGCGGCCGGGTCCTTGCGTGTATATCGCACTGTGAAGCGCGAATGCGCTTCACAGTGCGCGAATGCGCTGCGTCAGTGAGTTTGCCATATCTGCGATATATGTCATTAATGAAAAGACTTGAGTGCGCAGGCAATCTGGTGATAATTAATTATGTTTAAAAGCCGAGACTGTGATAAGGGAAAAATGAGGAAACTGAAGTCAAAGACCTCCCGTTTCAGTAACTTGTAGTGCCCCCCCCCCCCCACCCCCCTCCTTTCTTTACACCTCATAAGCATGTACATACCATTTTCCTTTTTAATTTTGCGTAGGCGTTCTTTCAGGACATTGTGCTATATAAGCGTACCTAAGCCTGCTGGCATGTGTTCACTTATCATCTAGTCTCTGGGGAAAGCTGCTCTTCAAAATTAAACAAAATTTGGCATAATATTCTTTTTTTTTTGTGTGTTTGGGGTGTGTGCTGTTGCTGAGACAGTTTCCGTGCTCCTCATTCGTATAGTAAACATAGCATATAAAAGTGACAATTGGTTGCCCCGATCATCTGTAGACTTCCTTGTAAACGACATACATGGTGAATACACGTGCTGGCACAGAAACAGCAAGCCCGCGGGAGGATGAGGAGAACAGTGGCAATGTCCTGCTACATATTCTAAACCGTTGTGCTGAAACACGTCCAAGCAAGTGACTTCTGAGGAAAACCTTCCGTTTTATGGTCTTACTTGCTTGTTTTGTCAGTCACTTTTTGTTTTTATTAACCTCCTAAGCAAGCTTTTTTTTTCGTCAGTCATGTTGGTTTTAGCAAGGGTCAGTTGAGCGCATATGTATGAGCAGGGGTGGTATGATGGTATTATGAAGTTCTGTATATTTTGCATTTGTACTTTTATCAGATAGAATAGATTTGTACCCTGTTGAGTATTGGAATACTTTTGTTTGCCAAAAAGTGACTTGGAACATTTGTATTTTCTAATAATGAAAGCTATAGTCAGTATTGTGCTTCATTTTATACCATAATATTGCATCTTGAAATGGTTTTGTTTTAGAGCGCAGCTCTTAGGCGCCTGTTTCCGGCTTGAGCGGCGTCGGCGTAACCGCGCGGTGCATTATGGGACGCGTGACATCACCGATGACGTCATCAGTGACGTCATCGGCATCGTCATTGTCACTGATGACGTCATCCGTCATCAGTGACGTCATCGGCATCGTCATTGTCACTGATGACGTCATCAGTGATGTCACTGATACGTCGTCGGCATCGGCATCGTCACTGATGATGTCATCGGCATCATCCTCGTCACTGATGACGTCATCGTCACGTGACCTCAGAGGGGTCACATGACCCCTCTGAGGTCACGAATGAAGCGATGGCGACGCCGCTCGGAGGAAGGAGTAGCAGACAGGATGAGGACGTGAGGAAGAGGGAGGAAGGATATATGTTCCCCTCAATACCCTTCCCCTCCTCCTCCTCAAGAACTGCGCTCTAATCCGGCGTTACAGGGAGTTGTAAACGGCTTTCATTTTTTTAACCTATGGAACTAGTGATTTAGGTTGTTAAAAAGGCACAATATTTTGTTTTTTTTTGAGGCTTAAGTTATGTTTTTTTTTGTCGACTAGTAAAATACCGAGCGAGCGCCCCCTCCAAATTTAGAGATTATCCAATCAAAATAGACGAGGGGCCCTTACTCGCTTCAGGAATAACATTCAGGATGGCGGCCACCAAAATATTAAATTTTCATAAAATGGGAGGGGGCACTTACACGAGGGGGAGCGTATGCTCGGTATTTTATGGTATGCCTTCTATTGTAAATCTATGAGAGGAACCAACCCGCTACCAGGACAGTTCTCATAAGCTGCCATTCAAATATTTTTTATGCTATGGGCTGGAATATATTTAAGGAAAGGATATGTTTGGAAATGGTTCCCGAACGTCACATGGAGATGCTTTTTCGTTGATATTTTTTGTATTTAGAACACATCTGCACTTATAGCCCCGAGTTTGACCTGGGTGACCAGCTCCAAGATTAACGTATACTGCTACGAAACTCGACTTTTCTTGCTCCTGAGCTGCTCCAAAGCAGAACTTTTACTGCTCCAAAGCAACTTCAAAGGGTCATCTTTGCTGCTCCCAGACCTGCTTCAAAAGGCTGAAGCTTGCTTCCACCCCTTTGCATTTTATGAAATTATCTATACTGAACTGTCTGGGAAGTCCCACACTAGTACTCCCCTAACACAGTTTGCAAACTCACTGAACAAGGCAAAATTTTGTAACATTGTCATTCTGTTTAGCACCTAAATGACTGTGCAGCTGTGGAAGACCTTGGTGGGTGTCACCTTTTGTACAACAGACATCCTCATTCTGGTGCAGGGACGATGGCAAGGATGGACTCAAGTTTTACACAGACCCCAACTACTTTTTTGACCTCTGGAGACAGGAAATGCTCAAGGATACTGAGAGGATCATGCTGGACAGGGGCAAGAAGGTATGTCCTGCTCTGCTTTATGTCGTGCTTCGATTACCTGTCCCATAGTTTTATGGGGTAGGTATGTGCCTTTGCATCCCTTAGTAGAGCCAACTTAGTAACATTAAAACAGCATCTGCATTTACATGTCTCTTAGCTGTTCTAGGCATGTATAAACTGTGAGCTGCTGTTTGCATTCTGAGGAGTTAATCCTAATTCATAACTAGGCTGTGCACTGTCCAGTTTTAACCAATAAGCATCTGCCAGTGGTAAAAATAAAAAATCTGTTAAAACCGAGAAACACCGTAGGTAGACTCCTCCCTTATAGAGGTTTGTCAAGCGTGTTATCTCGTGGATCCTGCATCCCTCCAGTGATTATTCAGAGTTCGCTGTGGTACTTGGAAGACACTGGCAACATCAGTGTGAATCAGGTTGACTGACTTTGGAGAACGCGTCTCTTTGCCTAGGGAACGAAGATGTGTTCATTGTTAACATTTAGTTTTAAGGGCTTCCAGGGCTGTGGGTTCGGTTTGACATCACCCTGTCTTGGGTTTGCCGGAACTGTTCCACTTTTCTGGATAAGGGGATTGAATGGTGTAAGGTTTTGACCACCTCACAGTTGCAGAAGGTGCTGTAGAAATCCTGCCGTCTCCACTATAAAACGTGGATTATGTGGGACTTTTCTAAAGTTTTGACAACAAAAGCTGAACTAAGAAACAAGATGAAGCTGTGCGTCTTTTTGGCGAGTCTGAAACTAAAATTAATTCTGCGGCAACAAAAAACAAAACAAACATTTTTAACATTTGACATATGCATCGAGCTCCTTCAAAATAATGAACCTCAATTACCGTATTTACACGATTGTAGGTCTACTCGATTGTAAGTTGGCCCCCCACCCCCCCATCGCATATCATAAAAAAAAAAAAATTTTTTTTTTTTTTTTTTTTTAGATGCGCATTTTATTGCAAACATGTGAGAATGGCAAAATATCTGTTTCGAAAGCCAAGCCTCCAACACGCGATCGATGCCTTTTGGCGTGCTTTGGCTGCGTATGCGCGTTCGAGGTGCATGAGATGGCCAGGCGTTATCGGAACTAGGAAGTTCACACTGGAGGCGGGACAACTGAAGCTGCTCACTGTCGTTCTCACTCCATCCGCGACTAGACTGCAGCTCGTCCGCACTGGTGATATCAGTCCCGTCGTCATCACTGCTACGTTCTCGGAGCACGTCGTCGGCGTCGTCCAATGAAATCTCGCACTTCGCAAATGACAGGATCAACCGCATCTTTCGCGCTTGCTCGGCGATCGCGTTGGACGTCACGGGTAGGGACCGATCGCGCACGTTTACGGCGTACGTTGCAAGCCTGACTTCCAACTCCGGAAGGCATCCCCACCTATCCAGACTTTGGCCTGCGTAAGCTTCTTAGTTTGCCGTCACACTTTAAGATTCCGCGCCACCGCAGACTCCACTGGAGCATCACCCACTCCGACAGGTCGAACTTGCGTCCAACAGCGCAGTTGTTGGTTGCTTCTGACTGAAGAACAGCCATAAACAAGCACCGAAAACCTAAACTGCCAGGATCACGCGTTTCAATACAAATGAACATAGTTAGCGCACCAGCATGATCTCGTACTCGATCACACGATGTGCGACCGTGAATCGTGCAAAAAAGTGTGAAGAGAAGCGGAGAAGCCGTGGAGCGAGCGAGCCAAACGAGCCGTGAGGCTGTTCCGGCGTTCCAGCGGCCTCCGGAGTGGCTCTTACCAGAAGTGCCGTCACCCCCCGGAAGTCGGGCGCTCCGTGCTCTGTTCACCGCCGTGCATTCAGGTTATTTTGCGAATCGCTACCAATAATACTCGTTCGCGCAAATAAAAAATAATTAATTTGTAAAATGAGCGCACAAAACAGTGTAATGCTTGGGGTACAGCCGGTTGAACTCGTAACAAGCCGAGGTGTCCATGATATCGCGATTGTTTCGTTTTTGCCGGCGGTGAAATGCTTTGGTTCGATTATAAGTCGAACCCCCCCCCACTTCAGATTTTCAAAAATTGAAAAAGGGTCGACCTACATTCGTGTAAATACGGTACTATCGTTGTGGCCACATTTATTTACATTGATTAAGGGTGTACAAAGCCTCATTTTTTGCACTGATAATCACTATTTTCAGCCTTGTCACGAGTCGTCCATCCGAAATACTACACCGGTGCTTAAAAAAGAAGTAAACACTGAAAAACATCCGGCAATTTTCCTCATTAATAAACACTTGAAAATATGTACCCTATTCATGACCTATTCAGGAATGAACGCTAATAAACTACACCAACATATGCATTGCCACTGACTTAAAAATTGTATTTATAATAATTTCCAAGGAGAAAGCTCAGAAATGAACTACATAATTCTGAAAGAACTCACGAGGTTCAGTATGCTTCGTGAAGTGAACACTCCAAACCAGAGTCTACAAGGTTAAATATCTGAATGATGCGCTTGATGGGAACAGAAAAAAAGATTGATTCTCAAAAGGATTGGTTTATTTCATGTTTTGGCTCAAATAGAGTCACTAAATGTTTGATGAGTACAGCATTTCATAGTGTCATGCTGGGACCGGAGAATTGAGCTTTCCGGTTGGGTGATCTTGGCCATTTTTAATGCCTGGAAAAGCAAGACAAAGAAGAAAAACACATGTAAACCATTTTTGTGGCAGCTCTGTACAGCTGTCAAACTAGGCTGGTCGTTAGGGGTGTGCGAATAGTGGTTTGAATCGAATAGCTAGGCATCATTTATAGCCTTGACAGCGCTAGGGGAAAACAAGACTTACCGGTTTTCTTTGCAGTGTTGATGCTGGGAACGACGCTGCACTATTTGATTCAAACCACTATTCGCACACCCCTAGTGTGAGGGTTTCCTCCAGGACTTTTTATATCGAGTGGCCCATAATGTAGCCCACCAAATGAGAATGCCAACCTGTTTGCCTGCTGGCAATCAGGCTCTGCCATTTCTGTTCGTGCAGATGCACAGGACCTCCTTTTTTGAGGCCCTCAACTGGGGCATCATGGCACGGTTGTGTGAAGAAACTAGGGAGTTTCTGATCCCTTTGAGTATATTTAGTGACTGGATTGTACCTACGTGGCTTAGCAGAAGCTTCGCTTGGCTTTAAAGGAGCTGTGCAACGATATTCAATTGGAATGTATTTCTCTCTACACGAGCTTACTGGCACACCTGGGACTCAAGGATACTCACACGCAACGCCATTGGCCAAGAAACTCCTTTGTTGCGGTGTAATTTCAAGGACAAAAGCGATCATTTTCATTCAATCTCTCCTTTGCAAAATTTGATGACGTAACTCGGGGATCGCAGTACACCCAAGTGACGATATTTGAATACGGTTCATAGATTGGACCCGAGCATTGCGTGGGCACTCGACTTGGGCTCGTGACAATTGCTAGCTCGAGAAGCATTCGGGTTGTGACCCGTGTCCAATCGCTGCAACGACGACAACAGCCGAGCCATGACAATGTCTGGAACTCAGCGCGTGTCCTGCGCTTTGCCAACCCCAGCGCGTGGCTATGATCAACACTGGCGGCATATAACCGGCTCCAGATCACGTGGCCGCTTGTTCTGGCTGCGAGTTGAGGGGGTGAACGCTGCTCGTTTTTCTTTAATTTTTTTCTGGGACTTCTGTTGCGTGGGGTGAAAAACGAACGCGTGTTTCATAGGTCATTAACGTTAGGGATCCGTTTTAAGTGGTATTTGTGCACAGTACAAAAATTGTTGCACAGCTCCTCTAATCTCTTGGCTCACCTAACCTGCCCTTTGGCCTGCTTTTCTGGCTTGGCTTCCTTTCAGTTGGTACACTCAAGAGACGGAGTTGAGGTGAGTCCACTCTGTCTTTTTTTCTGTTTCCTTCGTCGCAGCACACGCTGTTGCCTTTTCTGCTTTTTGTCGAGCGTGCTTAGCCTGGCCTGAAGTTTACAAGCTTTCTTAATGTTCTTGTAAGGGGTATGTTATGTCAGTTCATCAGTTTTCAGAAATTTTTGTTATGAGATTAAATTTTAACATTCTTTTACTTTTTTAGAGAATGTGCTTGCTGCGTATTGGTTAGTAGTTCGGTACTAGGTGCATGCTTGCACTCTGCATATTTTTGCAGACATTCCTCTCGCAGTGTGGCCCTTTCTGGCCATTTTAATGTAATACAATGTAAGGGAGGCTATGTAGAAAAAAAAGCAACATGGAAGAGTGACACTGAAGTGATGTCATCTGCTAAATTTAGTGGGCCCTGTGATCAAAGTGAAAACTAACGTGACCATACATGTCACACATGACCACATTGTGACACACACTGTCAAATTCTGTCATATGTTTTGCATTACGACAACCAGTGGCATTCTCGTCGCAGGTTGGGGTACAAACCTCGAGACACAAACGATTGCGCTGAGATTTATTGGCCCCAAAACAAATTATATTGCTATATTGTGGTGGATAGATTCTAAAAGTCTTTCCTCTCTGCAGCCCCACCGGCCAGAAGGCAAAAGAATCAAGAAGGTGCGGCAGCCCCACAATACGCGGGAGCGCTTCCGCCAGTTGGCCAACACACGGGAGTTTCTGGACCAGACACCCACCTATGGCACCAGCCCCTATGGGGGACGGGGCCCCCCGCCCCAGGCTCCTCCCCCTCAGGCTCCACCCCTTGTCACCCAGCCCGGCCTCCCCGACGGACCCGTGCGTCCCAGCAGCCTCGAACTTCCGCCCGGCGCGCAGCCGGGTGCCCACTACCCACCCCCACCCCCCGCCTACTCGGAGCACGCCCCACCCCCTCCCCAGTCCCCCAACCACTATCCCCCGCCCCCACCTTACGTCGAGCAGCAAGGGGGTGGAGCCACTGTGGTGTCCCCCACCAACGGCGGCACCCCGTCCCGGCGACCCCGCCCCTCTCAACCGCCCCCGGCCCCTCCCACCTCAAGCGGGACCTCGTCCCCGAGCGTCACCCCGTCCAGCGGGGCGGGACGTCACCGCGGGGGGGCGGGGCAGCGGGAGACGCTCCCGCCCCCTCCCCCGCCCCCCGAAGCGACTTCGGTTGCAGCCATGGATGCGACGGATCCGACCTCCGTCAAGCTGGACCGGCCGTTGGCTGCAGACGGCGCGGGTGACGGGCTGGACTTGCCCCCGCCCCCTCCGGCGCCAGACACAGTGGCGCAGGAGGCTGCCGCTGTGGTGGCATCAGTGGCCCCGCCTCCCCCTCCGCCCCCGCTGCCTCCAGCCAATGGGGTGATGGCGGTGATGGTGAATGGCGGCCTGGCCAACGGGACACTAGCCAATGGCGTGGAGTCTGAGAGCTCGGGTTCAAGCAAAGGAGGAGTGAAGAAGGAGTCCCCACCTCCAGCAGCGGGCAAAGGAGCTAAGGAAACGGCGGCACCGACGGATGCGCGAAGTGACCTCCTGGCGGCCATTCGTGAAGGTGGGTGGCTGGTTTCGATTGAACTGTTCGTAACAGTGCATTTTGTGGTCTTGATTCTGCATCTGCAGTGCTTAGTTGAAAGTCACATTCCTAAATGAGCTTAGTTTATACACAAACTCAACTCTGTGACGTCACAGCGCAGTGGTGGCGCGCCGGTCGCACTTCCGGTCTGGGGCTGTGGGCAGAAGTCCCCATGCCAGGCATGTATTCCTGCGTTGTTTTGAAAGGAACCAAACAAGAACCTGCCTTCTCGTCAAAACGCCGCGTTTGGGGCTGTATCGAAAGTGTCGAGGAAGGTTTGAAGGTCAGTTTTCACGTGCTCGGTTCGTCCGAGAATCTGGATATGTGCCTGAGAAGAGAAAAGCAGACCCCGTCGGACAACGATTGCTTGGGCGGGAAGCACTTTGGGTCATCAGATTTATTTGCTTTATTCCAACATGAACGCCAGAAAACCGTCAAGTTGTGCGGACCACCTGCAGACTACGTTCAGTGCGTCTTCAAGTTCAAACAGCCGCCTGATCATTCGAACTGTTGTCTACTCTTTCAAACGTTTCTGCTTGTCGTCTGCTCTCCTAGATGACGCCGGCCCGTAGACTAAATGTTGGCCCGGTACTTGCGATAAGAAGTAAGTGCAGTCCTCAAAAGACTTCAATTTGAAGGTTGGTAAGCAGGCTCGATGTAAACAGTAGATACAAAAAAATGTTGATTATTGTTACCACTGACCATCACCGACTTGTTATCCCTAATTCACTTGGTCCGATCCTGCTTGCGATTTTTAGTATCGACGTCGTCTATCTCGGCTACGATTCCCGCTTTTGCAGCTCAAGCGGCGTCGCGACTGAAAATTGCAAGCGAAATTGCATCATGTGATTCAGGCTTTAGCGTACATACTGCGGCGTCCACGCGGAATGAATCACCACATGTCATATTATTCACGTGAAGTTTTGCGGTGTAACAAGCCTCAGTGATTTCGCTGACGCCGCTCAAGTAGTCAGACGTCGTCAGGAAGATGTAGAATCAACAATTCGAACGCGAAAAAGGGCAGGGGTACTCACACCGATGCCGACAACATCGCATTCCAATGGTTTGTTTACTGGCAATGGCGAGCTTCTTGCCCACACCCCATCGCGCATGCGCGGCGCCGGTGGTGTCCGCGAGGGGCGCTCCGGTTTGTTTGTAAACATGAGTTAGTATATAAAGCAAAATTGCGAAATGCTTCAACCTCTAAACATTCTTTGTTGTTAGTGAGATGTGTACAGTTCTGCAAAAGCTTTGCCGACAAGCGTTATACTTTTGCCTCAAGTCGCTCCGCTGTAGAGAAACTTCACAACACCTACTTGAGCCAGGAACGACACTCGCTCCCGATTGAGCGGGATAGCACTCACTTAGCAGTATAGATACCTGCACGACATTGCATGGTGCAGAGAAGGTCAGAAGAATTTCTACCTCAATAAAATGCAGGCAACGGTAGGATGCAGTCTTAAATGTGTGGGTAGACACAACACTTACTTCATCCCACAGCACCTTCATGGGTGATTGGGCAAGAGGACCATTGATTACCTGGCTTACCATGAGACTGACTGCAACAATGATACTTGGCAAGGGTGATTTGTTTCACAGATGAATGAGTACTGCTTGGAAGGCGTTATTTCGATAGGCACCCTTCGCCTATTAACTCCAGAGTCTGGAAAGAAGCAGACATACCTATTCCAGTGAGTCATCTTGGCAGTTGTGAGTCTCTTTATCGAGCATATCTCGCGCGGCGTACTACATCAGCAGTTATGATTGCAGCATTTTTACGTCTCCTACAGAAACTACCGCGAGAAAAAACTGATGCCCCCATGTTTTTGCAACGTAACTGGAGTTGAGGGCTATCAACGAACAAACAAAGAAGCGGGAGGCATCACGTGAAGTGTCTCGGCCTAAGCGAAACCTAGTTGCTTGACTGAGTATGCAATTTGAATACTTCAGCAGGGATGCGACTGCTGGATATTAATGTCGCAAAACAGGGACTGCTACAAACAAAAAAAACATATTGGCACAACTTTGCGACGTCAGCCTGAATAGGCAACTAGCAGAAAAATCGCTTCAAGGAAGTCGGCACCTGTCAGCGTCACTGAATGCATGCTGGCACATTGAAGAGTTTAGTTTGAAAGAGGCTTTGATGCCACTGATATCAAGAAAACGAGTGGAAGCGATTTGCTGGTGGAGGAATATGAATCCGTTTGAGGTACATTTGCCGCTCAGTTCTTGACTTGTTATTGACTATGATTTTAATCCATCTTGCACTATGCAAAATGAATGTGGACAGAACCAAGGCTTGTTGACAAGTAGGTGACAAGGCACGTCTTTTGTGCTTGTGTCCCTCTTTGGAAACAGCTTGATTGGCTCCCATAAGCTCTCGATCGAGTTTAAATCTCGACTGTTGCCATGCCATTACAGCACTCTGATTAGGTTGTTTTCGAAGTGCCTTCAGCATGTGTTTAAGCCGGATCTTGCAAGAAAAGACACCCTCCTACAGGATAAACTTTATTGTGTGGAAGTGTGCCTTTTTTTTGTTAAAACTAGCTGCCTTATAACAATTTGAGGTTGTTCTTGTAGGAGAGTGGCTTTTTTTCTTTCTTCTTTACTGCTTGCATCACTGTTTACTATAGCCACAATCGTTTGAATGGGATGTAATTAGTCTTGAACACCTTTTCTTTAAGTGTGTGGACATTGTGCACAGTTTAGAACCTCCAAGTTGAAAGACAGTACCATTCTCTTCCAGCCACCTTGCAGCTCGAGATGCGTGCCCTTTGGCACCGCGCGGTCTTTAAAATCTTTGTCGAGATTTAAGGACCTTAACCTTTTGAGACTGCTGTGCTTTCAATTCAACCTCTGCTAGGTGTAGGAGGGTTTCGGAAGAGTTTGAAAAAACGGCAGTTACTATATTGGAGTAGAATGGAAAGATGGGCTAGTTGGTACATTGCAGGAACACTGAAAGTGCCAGGGAATGTTGTTTGTATTCTTTCTTTTCCTTTTCCCTGTCACATTTAATATTCCTACTATATTGGTTTTATGTAGAGGTCAATGCTTAACGTTTAGTGATAGAGTGGCACAAACAAGTTTCTACAGACAACCTGTTATGCACTAAAATCTGGGAAAAAATGCGTCCTCGCATGTCAACAGAAAACTTCCCATTGGTCGTGGCAAGTGCGTTGTCCTCTAGGCGTCATCCTCGAGGTCATCCTAGAAATCGTCCTTGAGCTTGTCTTAGACGTCGTCCTCTAGGCATCGTCTTAGACATCGTAAAAATAACAACTTCGCTGGTCCTCCATCTTTATTTGAAATGAAGGGGCTCTACAATTTTTTTAAATATTACTTTTTTATGGTGATAACGAAGGGCTTTTGGGAAAACCAAATTACTGTCGCACTCGGCCTATTTCCCCACAAAATTGCGAACGGACGTCTGAACTGCCTTCCTTTTTGGGAAAAAGATTTTCTCACTTTGAGACTTTCCTTGGAGAAAGGATGCCTGAAATAATTTATTCGTTACAAAAGTTGCCACTATATAATCCTGGAAAGAAAAGAATCCACAAAAGCTTGGCACCTTTTATCCGTGGGCACGTCGGCACGAGATACCTTATTGTGCCCCAACCGTCGTGCGAGCCACCTCAGATGGCTCCGAGGCAAAGCGCCAGCCCACAGATCCACGGGAGGTGGTTTTGAATCCCCACCGAGATGCCTGCAATCTTACAGAGGCTCGTTGACATACAACCGAAATTTCGGTTGTAGGCCAAGAGATCTCCGGGAGGTCAAAATGCATCCTTGGTCCTCCACCGGGCCTTCCAAGTGCGCCTCTGGCAGTCCGGCACGTCATGCTCCCAAATTTGACTCTCCCCCGCTGCCACGTTCTGCCGCTTGCACATACGTCGTTCTGCTCTGTTGCAGGGATCAAGCTGCGCCGCGTGGAGGACTTCAAGCAGAAGCAGGTGGAAAAGGCGGCCCAGCCCCACGACGTGGCCTCCATCCTGGCCCGCCGGGTGGCCATCGAGGTGTCCGACTCCGAGTCGGGCTCGGACAGCGAGTACGACAGCGACTGGGACAACGAGACCGAGTGCTGAAGGTCGGCCGTCGCCACCCGCCACCTGCCCCCGGCTCGGGTGAGCGTCCTCCCTTGCGCCTGCCAGTGCGGTGCCTGCAGCGCGTGGTCGACCGGTCTGTCTGGCCTCCCGCGCGTCGAAGGCGATTCGGAAGGGGCTGCGAATTCCGTCGCGGGAGCCGGGGCGTTGGACATCGCTATCCCGGCGGTCGGTCGAGGAAGTTGGGGGCAAAACATGAGCGCAAACGTGAGCGTCCTGACTCCCGTCCGCCGAAGCTTCTGTAGATCGTCTAGTCGGAGCTGGGGGGGGGGGGGGGGAGGTAGGAAGCTTCTGGAGGCGACATGAGGCCACCAGAGGTGAAGCCAGAAGTATTGAGGGACACTCCCCTGATGGCGACAAAAACCAAGAGACGCCATTGGACGAAAAGGAAAGCCAACTCAACAGCCATTTTGGTCACCCTCGAGCATGCTCGAGGGTGGCCTCGTGTCTCCTCCAGAAGCTTATTACCTCCACGAGCCGAAGAGGGATTCGCAGCCAGGCGGGTGTCTGCCGCTTTCGCTTTTGCCGTCGTGCCGTCACCGTGATTGCGAAGGGGGGGGAGGGGGAGGGGGAGGGAGGAGGAGGAGGAGGAGGAGGAGGAGGAGGAGGAGGAGGAGGAGGAGGAGGAGGAGGAGGAGGAGGGAGGGAGGGAGGGAGGGAGGGAGGGAGGGAGGGAGGGAGGGAGGGGGCAACGGCGGAGTCGGGCAAAACTCAAGAGACTGCATTTGGGGACGCGGCAGATGTATCGGTCGGTTGGAGACGGGTTTCGGGCACTGTACCGATGGCAGTTGGGTTGACGGAATGGTTGCATGCTGGATACCTTTTGGTAGGCCATGGGGTACCGTAATATCTGGGGAGATAGCCTCCTAAAATCGAGAGAAAATTGAGTGAAAATCAAAAGTGGGCTATTTTTCAATGTACAATCGAGAAAAGTCTTAAAAAATGCTATTTTAAGGTCATGTGTCCCTGCCAAACTTGTTATCGCGGCGGGGCAATAAAGCATAAATGACCATGCCTCCCAGTCATTAATGTTTGCTTATATCCCGCCATAGCTAACCAGATGCATTTGTGCCGAGATCATCATTGATCCCAGCACTGCGATTACTAGGAGTGGGCTGTCTTTCGACGTTTAAAGGAAAATGTCAAAATCAAGCCAACAATGGAGTGGGTTACCTTTCGGGAGCGGGGCATCTCTCGGGATTTTACTGTAGTTTGATATAAATTGGGAGCGGAGAAAGGCCACTCTGCGCCCCACTTTGGGGCTGACGGTTGCTCTTTGAGATTCGGAGCCGTCTAATGACGGTCGGGGAGGCTTAAAAATTTCCCTTCCGGCGGCTTCTGTGGGAGAACGCCATTACCTAACGTCGCACCCCGTGAATCGAAGGCGACGTACGCGGACGGATTCTCCTCTGTCTGCTCCGTGTTCATGAAGACATTCCGTTTTTCCGGTGCAGAGAAGTTGCGCAATGTTGTCGTTAGAGTGTGGTGTTCTGCTCTGGACGGGGTAAATAGGCCAGCCATTGAGAAAGGTCGATTGGAGTGAGCTTGGCTGAGCTTTTCACGATTTGGGATGAATTGAACAAATCTACCCTCACTTGAGGGAAGGAGGTAGGAAATTGGAGAAAGCATATTGAACATGCTTGGAGGCAGCTTCAGTTTAGATTCTGACCTGAGAAGCCAGTGCACTAACTTGAGAGATAGACAAACATTACAGCTTTAGATTTCTACAAACTGCATGAATGAAAAGGAAGCTGTTCGGTCTGCAATTATTTTTTTTACAACTTCAGTCTGCCTCCTTTCCTTCCTGATGGGTGGTGGAAAAAGATGTGGAGGGAAAGGGGAAGAGCAATATACAATAAACTCTCACTTGAGCGAACTTCAAGGAACCCAAGCAAATAATTCACTTAACTGAAGGTTCATTAAACTGAATATATTCAATAGAATATGGAACAGCATAGGGCATAGCATACATCGAGTCAAAAGTGTGAAATGCAATTTATGGAGTCATGTACAGTGCTCAGCAAACTTATCTGGTACACATGCTAAGCCTGCTCTTGGCTTGTTCTACCGGGTGTATCAAGGAGCGGCCAGGCTCTTTAAATCTACCACTAAATTCGGTTTCTTAACCTATCGCGTTCAGATTTTGTACAGCGTTGACCACAGGTGGCGCATTTTTTCTATTAAATTCGCATAGAGCAAGCTTACCTGAGGAAAAAGTAAAAAAAAAAAAAAGAAAAAGGCTTAGCTCATGGAAAACGCAGCGAAGCCACCAGTCTTCAAACCTAAGGGCGCTATGGCTTGCAGACAGGTTGCGTCGCTGCGTTTCCATAAGAGCTAAGCCTTTTTCTTTTTTTACTTTTTCCTCTGGTAAGCTCACTCTTTGCAAATTTTATAGAAAAAATGCATCACCTGTGGCCAACGCTGTACAAAATCTGAACACGATAGGTTAAGAAACCGAATTTTGCGGTCAATTTAAAGAGCCTGGCCGCTCCTTGATACACCCAGTATTTTATTTTTTTCTATGAATTCCTTTGGCTGAAACATTTTTGCATAGAATGCATAGGAAAACTGCCGAGGATTTTTAAAAGTTTGTCATTCTGAAATATTTGTTAAACCTACGTTCACTCAAGTGAGAGTTTATTGTATTGATTAAGATCCTTTGATAGCGGCATGTTTTTATGTGTTATGGTTGCAGTGACAACTCAGCTACATACTAGTGTATTCTTAGTTTATCAGTGCATGCAGTGTGATGAATGTGAAAGGACTTGCAACTTGCAGAAGAAGGAACTTCAGTTGGGGTTGCTCACACACTAACATTTGGGCCACATGCTGAAAGTTGTGGCCCCAATATGCTTTCCAATTACCTTTCAGACATTTTACTAGGGTTTTTAATTTTCACGACCGTCATTAAAACAAGACGAATGATTCACACCTTTGTGAAATGTGCGCTAAATATCTGTTTTAAACAAACACCAAACTACGCAGGCAAAGTTTGCTCCTATATGAGCACTGTGCAGCCTAGATAAACACTATGCATGTACTTGAAGTGACGTAGCATCCCATCGTCTGCTGTTGCAGGTCTGGAAAGTACACCAGCCTTTAGTTGTGAATTGGAGCGTTGCTCCCGAGAAAAGGAAGAACACAAGAGGCAAGCCAGCCACCACCTGTTCCATGACAAGGCCGTGCATCTGGGAAGTGCGTGCGTCTGCTTTGGGCACCCGTCCAGCGGGCCACAGAGACACGGGTGTCAGCAAACCCTTCCTTCCTTTGCTCGCGAATCGGCCACAGGGACAAGGATAGGCAGCAGTAAGGCATTTTGTCGGGTATCGTTTCACGCGCAGGCGTGTCCAGTTCGGGGTTGCTCGTTTGCTGCTGCATTTATTTCTGGAAACTCGTCTTCTGCAAATCTGCTAGTCTCGTGTGATACGACGGGGGCTGTCGTCGGCACCCACGGTCACCCCCTTTTCCACAAGCGCATTGCCTTCGGTGGGGGACAGGCTCGCGTGTCCGCTGCGACTCTGCTGCGTGACGTGCGGCCTTGCGTTGGATCAAGTATTTATTTCGGTTTTGCCGACTACCTTTGGTCACGTCGGATACCGATGCGATTGCGAGACTCCCCATCTTGCTGCATGTGGAAGTGTAAGCCTGACTGGTCGAAGGGAAAGCCGAATGGTGGACGGGGCTTTAGTTTGCCTTCGAAGTATTTGCATAATGATAGGGACTTTTGCGCTTACAGTTCCGCATTTAACAACATTTGGACAAATCATTTGAGCATGGTTTATGTCTTCTCTAACTTCGAAGCATTAGTCGGGTTCAGTTTTCACTACATCTCGCCGAATGAGTTTTTTTAATAGTTGTGCTTGGCACATCCTGCAAGACGGCACGATACATTGCAAATCCCGATAGGTTTGAGAGGTAACATTGCGGTGCTTATTCGTCCGTGTGCTTACGATTTCAATGCCCGTCACTTGCTGATGGCGCACTTTGAATATTCAGTTTACCTTAGCAGGGACAGAGGAGTGTTTTTGTGCTGCAAGTTTTTGCCCACTTGGGCTGCGAGGGATTTCATCGCTGGTTCTGTGTTATGCCAAAGATAACTTGAGTTGCCATTTTTTTTCTTTATGTATTTGCCATCCTCATTTTCACAAAGGATTACGGTATTGCTAAAGTGTAGTATAGCATATCCAATGATGGCAGGTAAGCTGTTGCTTTGGCTTTGTCGGCCATGACACTCCGCAGCACTGGAGCGTGAAAGTGCGGCTGTTTTAATGGGGAGATGGTCAGAATACGCTAATTTTAGGTTGTCTGATGAAAGAGACGCATGGTGATTAATGGCGAACATGCTCGTCACAAAAGTTATATTGCAAATATTCGATACATAACATTCCTTCGTTTTTCTTCAATTTACGTCTAGGCTAGGTTGCTCGGAGAAAGTCTTATGGCCTTACTTTTTACTTCAGAACTCCAGGAAAGCATTTTCGCTGTAATCAGTATGAACCCTTCACAATTCCTTTTACAAATTCTAGGCAGTGGGTTTCCAACCTGACTGGAGACACCTGCAAACATGACTTCATTTTTCATCTTTTGAATTTTTTTTACTCCACTTTGCAAGCCCGCACATCAGGGTTGCATGCATTAGGGTCCTGTACTCCTTGCATGCAGTGTGCCGGTTAATACTTTTAGCAGTGCCCTGTGCCAAACTCTACAAAGATGTTCTCTTTTGCCAAATCTTGCTTTTTATTTAAAGTTGCTTTTTATTTTTTTTTATTATTTTTTTAATGAGTGAAACACTCTGAAATTGTCCCTGGCACCATTCTAGTTTTCACATGAGCTCGGGAAATTGCGAGTAGTACAGCCATTGGCATGGGTCCGGCGAACCTGGCATTCGTTTTTTGGACCTTTCACGGTGTCTTTTTGCAACAGATTGTCTTTGTATTGCACTATGCGGAAAGCCGGTGCCTGCTCCTTGCATTGTCCATGGCAACGTCAGCAACTGCGAATCGAGTGGTGGATGTCAAATTTACGAACGACCGACTCTTTCAAAGGCCTGCCTGCGTGACTGCTAGGCGATTGACTGGTTTAAATCCTATCACAATTTGCTCAAGGGTTTTGACGGAAGCTCTCGTGGCTTCTCACTGGTGCCTATCTCAGAGCAAGCTCTTCTTCTCTCTCGAATTTGATTGTTCTTTTGGCTTCGCTCGGTTTCGAAAGCCTCCAGTGCTTTGTGATCCCGTCGACGCCATCCGAGCACCGGTCTCGCGGAACCGAGACACTGCAACAGAAACCATGTTTCTTGGCGTATCCGTTTTCAGTGGTGCACACCGAATTCCGACCCCGAGGCAGTCGTTACTCGTCGGCTCGTTTACCTGCTCTGGAGTTTCCAAATGCGATATTTCGGCTGGCCCCAAATTTTAGGCGTGGAACGGCCCCAGGAAACGCTTGCAATAAGCGCCCCGTTGTGCTCGGCACATTCCAAAGCTTCCCGTGTCCAGTTTGTCCGTTCTTTTCTCTTGTGAAAGTGTGGATGTGGAGTTGCATGTCATTCTCACCGTCTCTCTCTCACCGCACCTCGGTAAGTTCAGAATTCTCCCCCCTCCTTACAAAGAAGGACCGCTCTCGGTTGCTCGTATCTTTTTTACATGGGGGTTGGAGGGGAAGCAGAGAGCAAACATGTCACAGATTGCCAGATATTGCCGTTGGCAGTCTTCGTTTTTAAGCGAGCCCTACTTAAGTGCGCATGCCACCTACGAGCGTGTACATACAACCAGGCACCGTTGGAGAGATACATTTTTTATTTGTACGGTAAGAAGCTCTCTCACCCTCGGAGAGAGATTTGCACCTTCCAGTAGGTTGGGTACGACGTGTAATTGCAATGTGATATGTAACGAATGGCAGCGAGGGAATGTCCACTCGAGAATCAACCTTTTGCAAATGCAAGGTGGAGAATTCTCAGTTGTATTGCTTTGGTCTTGCATTAGTTGGGTGTCTGTAAGATGTCCGGACAAAAGGAGAAACTGAGTGTTTTTTTATTTTATTTTTATGTTTGGAGGCAAAGCAGAAAAAAGTTTTCTGCATCGATGAAATTGGAAGACTTCGTTGTGGCCACTCATGTTTAAAAAGAGGCATCTTCCGCCCGACATCCTCCTTCCTGTGTCAATTCGTCGAGTGAGCGGTGTCTGCATGCATGAACAGGATGATGCTGCTCTTTAGCGTCTTTTTTTTTTTGCTTAAAAGACCCGACTATGTCAAACCCTGAAGTAGAGGAGACAGACTGTTTATTTTATACATACATATAAATATAAGAAATAAATATATATATATATAGTGAAATTACTGTTTTCTACTGCTTTAGTTTGCAATCTAAGGCAAGCTTCATCCCATGTGAGTCTATGTGTGGTGCCACTGTGGGGCACTTTGTATAGTTTTAAGAATAAAGAGCTGGATAATTGCAATACGGTGTCTGGCTCCTTCGTCTTGGGTGTGCATTAAATCAATTAACCTCAACACGGCCTTGCGATGTGAACATGTGCTGTGGGTGTAGTTGATGGGACATCCATGGTTGTAAGAAATCCATTGCATGACTTGTAATGTTAACACTTTATGATTTGCTCTTTGACAGTCTTCTAATGTCACACTCGTCAACTTAGGAGCATTATTAAGATCCTGTTGGTTGCTATAGAAGGCAGCCTTGAGCCTTCTCACATCTGAGCTGTCTCGATATATGACGTGCAATGCTTACCTTCTAGAAGCCAGATACTGGCACCGACCTAAAGATCGTTTATTTCCGGCCGAGTAAAAGGATAACGGCTTTAGTCGAGGAAGGCAAGGGCAGTCGCTGAGAACTCTTCAACTACTAAAAAAAAGGTTTAAAATCGTTTATTGTTTACGGCGCGAAGTTCCGTCTCCTACCAGGTCGCGCTGAAACGGGATGCCTTAGTTTGTGTTTAGCGCTGAAGAATGCGAGCGGAATGTTTGCCTTGTGCTTCGAACGAATTTGATAACGACAAATGATACTCACGGTGGACAGGAACCAGCTAAGCGCGCCCAAACCGCGGCACCAATCGCGTACTGATAACTTGGAAGCAGGAACGCGGGGTAGGCTTCCCCGCATGCCTTTGGGAAGATGGAGAGCAAGCGCTCTTATAGCGGCGCGCTCCTCGTACCGCGTCCGACGTCCCCGCTGCGACGTACCTCTCACCCGAAAGTCTTCGAGGCGCTCGAGCCGCCGTCGGTGCCTCTGCAAGCAGGCCCTCGACGGACTCGTGGAAACCGCGTCCGCGCGGGACGAGCGTCGGGTCGCGACCGACGGCGCTTTCATTGAGACGGAGCGTCCCCGATTGAAAGTACGGCGTATTGATTTCGTCGGAGGCCGATGCTGGTTACCCGGGCGACGTGGATGGCCCCGGCGCAGGCGCAGTGGGGCGGCGTGCCTCGGGGATCGCGGGAAGCTGATCGCGAGCAGCCCCGGCATCTTGGTGGGGCTCGGCCCTTTCTTGCTCCGAGAGACCGGGTTCGCCATGGAAACTTAGATTCCGTTCCCCCGACCGCTCGGGGGACCGTCGGACGACGCAGCTTCGCTGCTGTGGACAGCCGCGCGCTGGCCCGCGTGCCGCGGCTCGCCGCCGGGCCGTGCCAAGGCGCCCGCCACGGTGCTCCTAGCACCCGGACCCAGGGCTCCCCCGGTCGTGCCCCCGTGCTCTAGATGAAGGCTGCCCACCCGAGCCCAGGCGGTCCCACGACTCCCAAAGGTGAGGGGACGACCGGGCAAAGCCGATCTTGGCTGACCGCGGCGCGGGGAGGACCCCGTGGGGACGCGGACCTCCCTATTTTCCCTTCGGAAGAGCGCGGGAGGAGACGGAGGAACGCTGTCTGCCAGTGTGGCACGCCGGAGATGGTGTCTCTCCACGAAGGTCAGGGTTACGCGGCAGGCATCCTGAAGAAATCCGGTACAAGGGGACCCTTGGCTAGCCTGGGCACGGAAACTGAGCGTTTCTTTTGTCTCGGGTACCGCTGTGGCTATGATGACGACACTATCACGCGCTGCGTACGTTACGAGAGTAGGCTTAGCGTGTCGCAGCATGACCACGCCGACTGCGGTTCAGTGGCCTCTGGCACCGGTCAAATTTTTTTTGTTGTAATTTTTTTTTTGTTTTTGTTTTATGCAGGTTGTATTTGAATTGGGAATCGAAACGCTTGGTATTCTTTAGAGAAAATGCACGGTCTCGAGATGGACTTTATAGCTTAGCGAACGCGATACGTGACAAGCGCGCGACCGCACCGCCCCTGCAGCCCAAAGCAATGGCTGCAGTCTGTCAAAACCGCGCTGCAACCGTTTAGTTGTCTTGCTCTCTCGGTGGAAGTGGGGCAATCTGTACGAAATGTCGGCCGTCCACAGCACAAATCAATTATTATTATTTATTTATTCTTCACTCGGGTGTTCCGTCAAATACGCGGCATCGCAATAAGCCGGCGGGAAACTAACGATTATACCGATTTCGCTAATGGCGTTTTGGGGGAAACCGTTCCGTCTGTCGGTTGGTTCGCATTTTTTGAAGCTCGAATTCGGTCCTGTTTCTTAGACTCTCGGTCACTGGTCTTGTCTTCGGTCTGCTCAAGACCGCATACGAGCTGCGACTGTCAGCCCCGCGACATCGGCCAGTGGTCCTGTCAAACGCGCGCCGGTCTTTCTAGCTTAGGCCTAATTCATCTTCGGACTTCGAAATACCTTTTAGCTCCCGTCAGCGCTTTTTGACACTACGATTAACAAGTGTGCGCAGCTTTCGAGTTCGTGTCCTGTCGGCAGTGAACGGTCATGGTTCCTCTGCAAGAATGGCGCTTTAAGACGTTACCGGACACTTCCACACTAGGTCGTTCACCCCTGCAGGGGTGCGCGGAAAGTCTAGAAATAGTGATGTAACCTACGTAAAACATCGGTTTGTTTATTAAGAACTTATATAATTTAGCAAATTGACTTGTACGAATGTGCCGTCGAGTCTCCTATGCTGACCACCCCACCCTTGTCGCTTTTAGAGCGCCTCAACATCTCCCTCACCGTGACCGTTTCAGACCTGATTAGTTCGTCACCTTTATTTGTACGTATTCTGCTTTCTCAGCCTAAGTACAACGAATACTGCAATGGGGAACGGATATGGTACGCGAGGGCGCCTGTTGCGTAAGATGTCTGTTCTCAGGAGCAAGGCGAAAGCTCGCGATACCCCATTGAACTCTGTTAGTACAACTCTTGTCATTTTTGGCAGCCATCGTGTCTGCCACTACGTATATTATTTGAATGCTCACATGTTTGGAGTCCCAGATTGCAACATCGTCATTTCGACAACGCACACAAAGATCATTCGATGTTTAAAATTTAGAAGTAATTTTACTTTCGTCGGATAATGTGAGCATGGCAATCCTGTATGATACTCTAAATACGACACTTACCATAACTCATTCCAAAACTGTATGCTTGGTCGAAAATTTGTCAAACGGGATTGCGTACAGTTCGTCAGCGAAATATTGCTCTGAACCTTCCATGTGTGGCAATAAATGGCCGTGAACATCGTCCCGAAACGACGGCTGATATACAATTATTAATTCTGTAGAAGAGCCCGGCTGGGAAACAGAAGGAATAGATTATAGATGAGACCGTCTCTTGAAAACTATTTTTACATCTCTGGCTTTGGCATCCGTGCGCAGCCTGCACTATGCTGACCGCCCACAAGCTGAAATTCGGTAATTGGTGTGACAGGATACGGATCATCAGCCATGAACATCCGTAAGACATGGCGCCCATTCTCGTTACACGCTTTCCCTTACGCAAGCGCACCTAGTGGCGAAGTGTGCTTCTGCGGACTTTTGGAGGAGCTTGCATTCAGTGGAATGAAGGAAGGGTGCTCACTTTTTTGAAAACGTTTAACTGAACTGCTAGTAACTGCGTAAGAAAATTATACTTCACTACTACTGGTTATCAAGCCAGGGATCACCTGCGTCGCAGATACGGCTCAAGATAGCATCCCCAAATGTGTATTACATTTTTTACCTTTAGCTACAGTGGCGAACAATATCGTGAACGGGTAAGCGTTCGCGTTGCGGACGCTCGCGCTCTCGGCTGTGGCACGGGTCGTGCTTGCGTCGCGGACGCTCGCAGAAATGTACAAATATTAAAGTTTACTTCATTAGTGCTCGATTTCAAATCTTGTTCTAGGTAATTCTTGATAGAAGTCGATATCTATGAAGCAACTTCACGTTTGACCGTCTTCCTATAGAGTCTCATCCATTGGCTGGTGCCAAGCATAGCCACCGGCGATGCCACTCGCCCCCAGCAACGCAAGCCTCGATTCGCCATCCAGCCTACTATAATAGACACCAGTGCGGCTGGCATTCAGCGCTGGCTAGTCCAAGCACGACTCGTGCAGCAGAAGAAAGTGCGCGCGTCCAGAACGCATGATTCGTGCAACGAATGATTGTGCGAGCGTCCGCAACGCGAGCATGATTCGTGCAGCAGACGACAGTGCGAGCGTTTGCGACGCAACCACGATTCGTGCAGCAGAAGACAGGAGGGGACTGACAGCCAAATTCGGAACAGTGGACGCTGTTCCTGATTTGGTTGTCAGTCCCCGTTTAAAGAACCATGCACGCCCGTTTACGCACATATTGTTCGCCTCTGTACATCTAGATACATTTGGGTATATCTTAAGCATACTGAAATAACAGCTGCGCCTTTTAGCAAAGAAAAATAGAACAACATATTGGGGTCTCAATACATGATACACAATTCTAAAGCATCGGTTTTTCGACTCTACACTCAACGCTTTCAAAAATGAATCTGCACTTTTCAACCTGCGCTCTTCCCTCACGCGCTTTTTGGAACGCTAGGATAACAGCGTTTGGTTACAGAATATTCGAATAACAGAAAAGAAACAAACAAACAAACATTCCAGTAGGCCGGTTTTTTAGTCCTGGTCTAATGCAACATTCTGAAAAGGGCCTCACTGGGTTAGGATGTTGCACAACCGTCAGACACTACGGACACATCGAAGTCGAACGCGAAATAAATTCTGAGAAAAGATAGGACAAATTGAGACGTGTGTTTTTGTCCTTTGTCCCTTTTGTCGTCCATTATCTCTGGTTAGAATCATGTGAAAAGTAGGTTTTCGTTTATATTTTGTAGTACTGTGCAAGGAAATAGGCATTCAAGTTTCACGCCCGCATGTGGTTAACTTTTGTTTGCTGTCATATAAACGAAGTTACGATAGCAGACGAACCTCCGTGCTTCACCGTGGATAGAAATATTTGTCGCGTCACCTAATAAGGCGACAATCAGTGGCGCGTACTTGTTAACATGAAATTTCATACCCCTCCTAAAGATGGGTGCATTTTTTAGGCAAAAAACAAAAAACAATATGGGTTACTAGTCGCCAGAGGTCGATTGTATTGGATCTATCAGACAGTA